GGTAGACACCGGCATGGATCGCGGGTTTGGGCAGGCGGAGGATAGTCCTCTGTTGAACGACTCGGCCACCATGGGGACTTTGGCAAACCAAGCCCCTGAGAAGAAGAAGGATCTGAAGACCTCCGAGTATCAAGTTTACAGCAACCGATGGCTCATGCTGGTAGGCACCTTCTCCGGCTGTTGGTCATGCACATGAGTCTCGCGCCCTCACCCCTCAGAGAAAGGTGAAGAGGTGACGGGGAGGGGAGGGGGTGCATGGAAGCGCTGGAGTGGCATGGCTACTCTTTTGACTTGTCCGCGTACACACTGAGCGGGTTCATGTTCGTATCGCTCGATAACAGACGTCTCCCCTCACCCTTGCCTGTGCCCTTCTTTACCCTTTGGCACTGCATTTAGAGTATCCTGGTGCTGCTGCAAATCTCCAATGCCATGGCCTGGCTCTCCTTTGCCCCCATCGTGGAAATTTTCAAGGAGTATTATGACACCAACGTAGGATGATACACCTCCACCCCTGGCGAGTATATATTGAATCGCCCAACCGCTCACGCATCCTTCCACGTTGTTGTTGTTGTTGTTGTTCTTGTTGATTACCAGGAATTTTCCTTGTCCATGACTTCCATGCTCTTTATGATGATCTCTGTGCCATTGGGCTTTGCCGGGACATATGTCCTCAACACCTTTGGACTGCGCTACAGCATGATCCTGTCCGCCTTCCTCAACGCTGCTGGCACAGTCGTTCGTTACGGCGGTGACTATGCACAAGCCCCCCACTCAAAGCTGGCCGCTGTCTTTGCCGGCCAGGCCATCACAGCCATGGCCCAACCAGGTGCGATCCAACCGTTCCCATACTGAAGCCACCCTGCCCTGTGCAGAATCGCAGGCCCGCTCCTTCGCGTTTGTCCCTCGCTTGTCTGGAGGTCAGCATCTTACCGCTGCGACACACACGCACACACACACGCACATGATGCCTCCTCAGTTTTTCTTGACTCGCCTACTCTGCTGGCGGCCCAATGGTTTGGCGAGTCGGAACGAGCTGTGGCCAACACCCTGGCCTCAGTGGCCAACCCCTTGGGCATGGCCGTCGCCTCGGCCCTCACACCCGCCATCGTGTCCAAGCCCGCGGACATGCGTCTCATGTTGCTCGTCATGGCCATCCCGGCGCTCGTCGGTCTCATTGCTACCGTGGCTTTCTTCAAGTCGCGCCCTCCAACACCGCCCTCTGCCTCCGCTTCAGTGGAATCTGTCAACTTCAAGGAGGGACTCGGTCGTTTGATCCGCAACCCAGCTTACTGGGCACTCCTTTTTAGCTTTGCCGTGGGTATTGCCCTCATTTCTAGTGTGACCTCCCTCCTCGGCCAGCTCACCGCCGGTACGACGCCACAGCCCCTCATGCACGAGATGATGTAGATGCTTTGAACCTGCCGCACATTGATCATGAGTGCCTCAACGCCATCTTTGGTAGGCCAAGGTTATTCAGACGACCAAGCTGGGTACTTGGGCATTGTCATGATTGTTGCAGGACTCATTGGTGCTGGCGTTGCCGGCGCTTTGCTGGACAAGTACCACTGCTTTCTCACTATTTTTAAGGTGTGCCATGCTGCGCGTGCTGCTTTCGCCTGTTTGCTCTCTCTTTTCATTTGGGTTGTTTTTTTGTTTTTTTTGTTTTTGTTTTTGTTTTGTTTTGTTTTTGTTTTTGTTTTTTTTTTCGTTTCTTGGTCGTGTTATGTGGTTCGATGATGCCGCTTGTCACCCATGCTTCTCTCTCAACCCTCAATCTTCATCTAGGGCGCCTTTGTCATTGCCGCGATCTCAGTCGTGGGCATCGTGTTCTTTGACAAGCCGGATCACTTTGCTCTGCTGGCCACCAGCTGTGGCATTCTCGGTCTGGCTGCCTTCTCTGCCCTGCCCACCGGCCTTGAGCTTTGTGTGGAGATCACATACCCTGTCAACGAGGGTTTGAGCACGTAGGATTGACTCCCATCAGCAGATGCTCGTCGAGACTCTCTAGTGTACCTCAAGATCAAGCCTCTTGCTTTGCTACCCTCTTTCACCGCGCTCTTGTTTCCTTTGCTTTTCTTGCTCTCCTCTCCTTTGCATTTATCATCAGGGGCCTGATCTGGATTTTCAGTCAAGCGCTTGGTACTGTGCTCATGTTTGCTACGAGCGCGCTGGCGGGTGATGTGGTCTACGTGGACAATCATGGACATGTTTTTCACAACGTCAGCCATTACAGTGACGACGATGATGACTACACAGAGTTTCACCAGTATCCACGAGCCCTTTACATGTTTGCGGGAGTCACGGGCGCAGCCACCATCGGTGCGCTTTGCATCAAGACGAGATATCATCGCCTGGAAGCGGAAGCAAGCCACAAAACCTTTAATGTTCAGGTCTGACCGACTGCAAGCCGCTGCCAGCAACATGACATTGTGTCTCCTTTCGTCGTAAAGTTCGTGGGCAGTGTTCTAGGTTTTTTCATCGGTTTTGTTGTCAAAGGGATTCGCATCACATAGATGAACTTTTTTTTTTATGTTTAATGTTTAGCAATTGAGATTGCAACGGTTGCTGGGCATCACGCAGAGCAAGATGGGCAAGTGGGGACTCACATTGCCCAGGCCATTTAGTACACAGATAATCACACGCAGTTACGCCAATCAGAATCATCAAGTCAAAGCAAAGCAAAAGAGCTTCGCAGATACATGTATATTAACAAAAAAGCATTATGCAAACAACATGAAAAGGGAGGTTCAATAAAAACATACAAAACGCAAGCAAGAGCGCACTCGAAGAAGCGTCTCATTTAAATAATCGTCGATTGACGACGGCTGCCCTTGTCGCTCAAAGTGAGATACTCGCCATCGGTGGCAGTGACTTCAGACATCACAGTGCGCGAGTCGTAGATGTCGTCATCATCATACACTTCGTCGGTGCCCGCAGCCATCTCATAATCGCCCTCGGCATCACCCGTATCTGCCAGTTGATAGATACCGGTTGCTGAAGGGCCACCCTTGTTAATGGCTAGCACGTAATCCAATTCGGTCTCAGTCTCACCGGTGGCGTCCTCTTCCTGAGCCAGAGCATACAGATCGGCGTTTGAACCCGCGGTTTGGCCAATGTCGTACACGCCGCCAGGCAGCGTATCATACACACTCGTACGGTCGTGCGTCTGGTTGGCCGTGGCGTAGTCGTCTTCATCATCATTGTCACCGTTCTCGTTCTCATTCTCGGCCAAGGCATAGCTCGGTTCTGCAGTAGAGTCACGAGCCGAATCCTTTGCGAGGGCATAATCGCTGGCCTTGGCCCCACGTCCAGTGGCCATTTGGTACTCAGCCGCATTCGCGCCGCGCTTGGGTCGCATGCGCACACCTTGTGCCGGGTTGCCACCGTCCGTGCTGCTCGTTTGCGGGGTTTCGCCCAGCATCATGGCATCATCGTAGATTGTTTCGCCCGGGCGGGCAAGCTCGTAGCTGTCAGCACCAGAGGCGGCAGCGCGATCTTGAGAAGCCAGAGCGTAGGTATCGTCATCACCAGCTGGAGCTGCCACGTCGTAGGCTGAGGCCTTCTGGCCAGCTGCCAATGCACGCGCGCCCATCTGACCGGGCATGCCCTTGCTCGCTTGGCCCTTGAAAGCGCGGCCACCCTGTGGGCGGGCTACATCGTAGGTGCATTCATCATCATCCGGTGAAGCCATGGCATACATGTCCTCCGATTCGGGATCGGCCAGTTCATACGTGTCTTGCGCTTGGGCTGGGGCACCTCGCTTGGTAGCCTTGGCGCCAACCTGATGAGCCATGTCGTAGATGTCATCGGCACCACCTTCAGGCTGTTGGCCCTTGCCTTGAGCCATGTCATAGATGCCGTCTTCATAAGCAGGCGGAGGGCCATCGCGGCAAGCCATTGCATAGGTATCATCTGCACCAGGAAGAACAGCCAGCTCATACACGCCACCATGACCTGCCTTGGCGTTGGCAGCGCGACCATAGGTAGTAGTGCTCATGGGATCGGCGTACAGGGGGTCAGACGAGGACGGGGAGACATAGTCACGGCTCATGGACGCATCCTCATACAAGGCCTCATACTCGGGAGCAGCATAAAGATGTGAGCCATAGGGGTTGTTGCCAAAGGGGTTGAGGTACGGGTTGTAGTCGTCAATCTCCGAGTACAGGGCCTCACTCGAGCCAGCCCGCGCAACGGGCTCCTCGTACAACGAGGGGTTGAGAGCGGCACAATCAATCGCAATTTCCACCAACAGGTCGATCAGAGGGTCCTGAAGCAAATCCACGGCTTGCTCTGCAGCGGCAGCCGGATCCTTCTTGTCAACCTTTGACTTGAGTGTACGGTGAAGGTTACCTCGATAGTAGGCAACAGCATCAGGATCAGGCATGCGCAGGCAGAGCGCGTTGTACACGCCATGCAGCTCCTTGTCGTTCAGGGCCAGGCACTTGCGACCTGTGCGAAGGTGATCAAAAACGGCAACACGACGGAATTTGCGCTCAACATCTTCGGAGAAAGTTTCCAGCTTGGAGGCACCATGAGCGCCGCGACGCAGCAGGACCAGCAAAAGAAGCAGCAGGACGGCAAGGCCCGCAATGGCGCCGACACCGGCCCCACCCATTTGGTCGCTGATTTGCCCGTAGCAGCTTCGCTGTCATTGTCATTATTGGCGCCGGCGGAAAAGTCGAGGTCGGGGTCGGCAGTCGATGATGTGGTAGTAGTTGTTGTTGTTGAGCTGGTGGTCGATGACGAGGTAGTGGCATCGTCGTCGTCCTCGATGATGATTGGGTTGTCATCTGTTGTCGTCGGGGCAGAAGTAGTCGTTGTGGTGGTGGTGGTTGTAGTGGTTGTAGTGGTTGTAGTGGTAGTGGTTGTTGTGGTGGTAGTGGTTGTTGTGGTTGTTGTGGTTGTTGTGGTTGTTGTGGTTGTTGTAGTTGTTGTGGTAGTAGTAGTCGTTGTTGTGGTGGTTGTAGTGGTAGTAGTGGTGGTTGTGGTGGTTGTTGTTGTGGTTGTTGTGGTGGTGGTGGTAGTGGTAGTAGTGGTGGTCGTGGTCGTGGTAGTGGTCGTGGTCGTGGTAGTGGTGGTAGTAGTAGTGGTGGTAGTAGTGGTGGTGGTAGTCGACGTTGTTGTGGGGTTCAAGGGCGTGCAAACACGATCGCTCGTGACAGTGGGTGGGGCGGTTTCAATCTCATCCGCAGCGCAAGCGGGTGAGTTGGCATCGCAAGGCAGAGTACCCGTGTCTGAGTGATAGCCCACAGGACAGGCCACCCCCTCGACAGTGACGGTCAAGCTGGCGCGAGCAGTTGTCATGTAGGCGTCTTGTGCAGTGGCAGTCACGTTCATGGAAATCGTGCCGTCCGTGCTGTCGTCGAGCACACGAGCCACCGAGATGGCACCCGTGGTAGCATCAATGGTAAAGGCCGGAGTGGCTCGACGGCGACGCGCGCTGACATCATCCGGATATTCCAGCGCGTAGACGATGGGATCACCCTCGTTGTCCTCGGCTTGCACAGTCAGGACGACCTGGCCCACCGGTGTATCCTCGGTGACCTGTAGACGAAAGGGGGGGAGAGAGATACCACGCCACTGGGGAGCTGGAATCTCATCATCGTTCACGGTGATGGTCACCAACAAGATACCGTTGAGGCAATCATCTGACTCTTCCTCAACGAGGATGCGAAGGTTGAAGGTTTGACCCAGATAGTTGGTGAGGGAAGACTTGACGGTAATCTCGCCCGTCCACGAATTGACGGCAAACAGGCCGCTGTATTCAGCCAGGTTGTAGGAGAGGGTCGCTCCTTGCGGCACAAGATCCGAGTTGAGCTCGGGAACAGTGAACACTGTCTCGCCGACAGCAGCCTCAAAAGTGATGGCAGCAGAGAATTGGGGCATGCCATCAAAGAGATCAGCAAAGACAGCAACCTGAAAAACGTTGGTGCCGCTACCAGCGCCATGCACACCAAGATAGAGCTGGGTGCTGTTCTCGTCCGCAACAGCCAGGCGACCAATGTTGTTGGTGAGCGTGCTGGCCAGCAGGCGGTACTGATAATCAAAGGCACTTGGGTAAGGGGTACGACGAGAAGCGTAAAGGTCGACGGCGCCCGAAAAGATCTCGAGCTCGATGATGAGGCTGCTGAGGGAACCGCACTGGGGTTGAAAGTACTTGACGCCGCAGTTCTCGACGGTAGTTGTCGTGGTGGAGCCCGAATCAATGACAGCTGGAGCATCACACGTCGTGGCCGACATGGTATCCACAATGTCGGGAATGGCATCAAAGTTCTTCAGAAGATGCATGTGCGAGGCCAATGGTGCGGTCGCCATGTCCTCAAGCTGATCCGTATCGATGCTTGAGCCAATACCAATGGAGAACATGTTGACGCCCATATCCTTGAGGAGGGCCGCCTCGTAGGCGGGTTCGTAGCCGCTAGAGGCCTGACCATCGGTCAAGACCACGACGACCTTGGGCACGCCCTCAGATTCGGGGCGCATGCCATTATACTCCTTGAGCATGTTTTGACGCACAGAGGCGAGGGCCAAAGAGATGCGGGTGCTGGATGCCGGGTAGTTGATGTTGTCAATGGCGTCAAGCATATCGCTCTTGTCGTAAAAGCTGTTCAAGTTGAAGTTGATAACGGCCGAGCTGGAAAAGGTGATGACGCCGACGCGTGTGGCGTTGGCACTAATGTCAAAGTAGGACACAACTTGTTTGACAAAGTCGAGAATCTTGTATTGAAAGTTACCGGGCGTACCGCCGTACGATTCCCGATCAATGGATCCAGAGCCGTCCAAAACGAAGATGAGGTCAATGGCCGACTTGCAGCCCTCGCGGATAACGCTCACCTACGGTCGAGGGGCAGAAAGGCAACAAGTGAGCGGTGGCGGTGTCAGTGGAGAGCCATGCAAGCGTCGAGAGGAGAAAGACTGGCTGGCGGTATCAACTGTGCACCAACCCGAAGAGTGGTGTTATCCACATAGGAGATCCAGTCAAACTTGGAGCGGATGGCTGCCAGCACGAGAATCTGCATGGCTTCAGGCGTACCCTCCTGGGTGGTGATGAAGGCAGATCGGCCTTCATTAAACGTGGTGGGGGCGCGACCATCGGCGACTGGGGGAACGTAGGCTTGGGACACGTGTAGATTGTAAGGTGAGACGCAAGTCTCGGCATAATATCCCTGGGCCAGTTCCGCAAAATTGTCCATCAAGTCTTCAAGCTTGCTCTTAAGACGGGGCGTCATGAGTTGCGGGTAGCTATGGGTGGACAGGCGGGCATGTCAGGCACATGAGATGGCGGGAAAGAAAACCAATTTGAGACATAAAGTGTGGTAAACAAAGTCAGGGGCTGGCAACGAGTACAGACCTGGTTGATGTGTTGCGGGCAAAGGTAGCGCGCTCGTCGGTGAGGGTGTCCAGCACGTTGCCAGCGGAGCAGGACGACAGAAGAAAGCTGTGTACCGCACCGACGGCCTCGATTTCGGACATGTCGGGGAGGCGGTCGCCAATTTCAAAGGCCGAGCCACCGCAGGTGTCAGGACAACGGCCGTCAAAGGCATCATAGTTGTCACTGCAGAAGGCACACCTGGAAAGATTGGAATGGCAGAGCAGAAGGTGATTTGAGAGGCACGGGAAGCAGACGTTGAGTGGCACTGGTACAGTGGGGCGGACGTTGAAGCAATGACATACTCGTAGCAATCGCCGCTGTAGTCGCAGTAGTGGCTAGAGCCGCACTCAGCGTGTGCCTGGCAAGCCCATTCGACGAGATCAAAAAAGGTAGAGGCGTAGTTGTTCTCAGTGCCAGGACAAGCGCCCACGACCGTGTAGGAATAGTACAGGGTGAAAAAGAAAGCATACTCGCCTTCCTCGTAGTCCTCGGGAATGGTGATGGTGCGGGAGCCAGAGTTGACCGACACATGACTGTTGATCAGTTCCCAGGCGTAGGGATTATTGACATCGGAATTCTTGACCATGTAAATGTCGATGCTCGATGAGGATAGGGAGCCTGACCAGGTGACACTGATGGGACGGCCCATTTGCTGGGGGTCACCAAATGCACACTGCACATCCAGCCATTCTGCGCCTAAGACAAAGTGTGACGGTGAGAGGGGTTGAAAACGAAATCTGATGCACAACGGGAGAAGAATTTGTCGAGACGGCAACGTACAGGACTGGGCGACGAGAAGCGCCGCTAGCACCAAGAAGGTGCGCATTGTGACGGGCAAGTGGAAATGGTGAACTTGTTGGGAAGCGCAAAGCGCACTCGGAAGTCAAGGATGGGGCGCGCAGCTGCGTTGCGAAGGGGGAAGGTAAAACAGCGAACCGCGCGTGTGTAAGGTCAACCAATGTAAAAAAAAGAAGGGGGTAGGCAGGAGAAAGCACACAAAAAGACCTTCCAAGGAGAGGAACGTACCGTTGCGTCGCCAAAAAAAAAAAGGAAAGGAGGAAGCCAAAGGGCAGACAGAAGCAGCCGCGTCCGCCCACCAGCAAGCAGCAAAGAGTCAAAGGTATACAAGGCCGAAGAGTCGAATAATAAGCAAAAATACGAATATAAGGGTCAGTTATGACGCGACGGTGTTCAAGGGGGAAAATGACGATGATGACGACCCTCTTCCGCTCTCTGCTCTTTGCTCTCTTCCTTCTGGTTTCCCGCCAAAAGAAGGTGGGGGTTTGTCTACAGAAGTGCGTCTTTGTACGACCACCCTTAGAGTCTTACGGTTGGTTTCTTTTTTTTGTGTTGGTTTTGTTGTGGTAAGTTGCAGTAATGGCACAAGGGCGCTCACAGAGGTGATCGACGCCACGAGCGGTGCGGGGTTGTGTGTTGCACATGTAGCCAGTAAGAGCGCCAAAGGGTTGAGTGTGAGTAACACTAGGCGTGGTTGGGGATATTTTGTCTGACATTCACCGAGATTCCTGAGAGCACGAGCGGGTTTACGTCGTATGGGTCTCGTTTATCGTTCACCATGACATTGTATGTCCCAAATCCATGTGCGAGCGCACGCGCGGATGCGACATGCCTGTGTGATCAAAACCATGCGGATCCCGTGGGCTGACGTGCAGGTATGTGTGGTGCGGCCAAACACCATGCCCGCTCGAGCTGGGCAGGAGGTCAAGTAGTGCATCTTTTTGGCGCTTTGTGGCTCCTTTCCTTCCGCCGGCCAGAGAAAGCATCACTTGCGACGGCTGACGGCGAGAATTGGGATCGGAAGTTAAAAAGACCCAACCCACCCACCCAATCATCGGCCAACATTTGAGATACTGTATGTTTCGGGAGGGGGTTCGGGGTATGAGTCGGCGGCGAATCGACCAAGCTTCATGTCATGGGTTGCAGCTCGAGGAGCAGCAGGAAAAGGATGGGACACCCTTTACTGTGTGCGCTGCTGCGTCCCAGGTCGAGTAGATGGGTCCGGTTGCGACGCACCCCATCCTTGATCTAAAGCTCTGGTTCGATGTGCGGTGTGCGCGAGCGTTGCAGAGGCATGTCGAGCAGTGGAGAGTTTGTGTGGTGGTGGGAAAGACAAGGCGTCCACGACACACTTTAGACATTTTTCCTCTCCGGTCCGCCCGGTTTCCGACTCATCTGCACCACCATCTTCCTGCCACCATCCCCAGCCATTGCATGGGATGCCTCCGGACGTGCCGACGCCGACGCGCGCGTGCGCAGACGACTTCTCTGCGCCGCTGACAATTTTGCACAGTCGAACGCAGTGAGATATGCATCTGGTATAATATCTGACAAATACCCAGCGCGTCAACGACGCAACGCCTGTAATTGAAATACGTCCATTTTTTCGGATAAACCAATACTCGTCCCGACAGGCCAGACCAGACTGGGCATGTTCATACAAAACATCTCTCCAAGGCAGCGCGACTCCATGTGTGTGTACGACGGGCCGTCTGACGGGCCGTATGCTGGGCCGATGGGAAGCAGGCAGCGCAACAACATCAGGGGGCTGGTCTGCAAAGGTAGATAGATGTAGGGGGGCAGGTGCGAATAGCAGTTTTGGACAAATGAGGTCAAGTTGTTGTTTGTGCGATCAAAGCACTATACTTTTGGTCCAGTGGGGGGCGGAGACGCCCCCTTTGCTATGGAAGAAGGGGCACGGCAAGTTGACTTTTCGTACCAAGAAGCAAGCCTGGCTAAATCTGCGCCCCCTCCTTGTCCAACCCAAGGGCACCCCCATGTCTTGAGCCAACCGACATCAGAAAAACAACTAAACCGGCGCATCCCTCGCCCGGCTGCCAAACTTGAGGTCTTTTTCATCACCATTGTCAGGATTTATGACCCGAAACGAAACACCTTGCTCTAACTTTGTCTCGCTTGTGTGTGTTATGCCGCCTCAGCATCAGCATCAGATTCCTTTTGTTCTCTCTCAATCCCTCAATCTCTCAATCTCTCTTAATCTCTTCTCTCTGTTGGTCTCTCTAAAACGCTCTCTGAAGCTCTCTCTGAAGCTCAAAGGCTTCTCTTCTCTCTCTTCATGTAACTCTCTCTTCTCTTCTCTCTTCGCTTCTCTCTCTCTCTTCGCTTCTCTCTCTCTCTTCGCTTCTCTCTCTCTCTTCGCTTCTCTTCTTCTCTCTTTCTGTGATCGACCTCGCCTTGGGCGTTGAGTGAGTGAGTGAGTGAGCGAGCGAGACGAGAGGCAACAGCTGCAGGTATGGCATCCCTTGCATCCCTTCTGCTTGCCGGCCGGTGCTCGTTGTCCTGTGAAGGGTGGTTGGTGTGTTGGCGTATCGGCTTCTGACTGGGTGGGAATGGGGTTTGCCATGATGCACCGCTGGCGTTGTCGTAGATCCGCCCCCGCCCATTTTGCGGCGTTTGGACTGCCTGGCGCCTCTCTGTGAGACAGACGCGTGTCTCTTGACGCCGGGACCTGGCCTCCAGACCCTGCTCATCGCAGCATTCTACGGATCCTGCTCTTGAGCCATCATTTGCAACGCTGCATTGCAACAGCGCTGCCCTTTTTGTGTGTGTGTGTGTGCTTTCCGCCAAGCTCTTCTCTGGCCTGCGCATCTGTGGTCCGGCCGAGCAGTAGCGGAAGATCCCATCGGCCAACATGGGTCTTCCCAATCTTTTCGGCTGCTTTGCCGCTGAAGAGGAACAGGTCTGCATCCGTCACCCTCTGGCTTTTCTTCTTTTTCCTTGTTCAACTTGGTTTCTTCCTCGGTCGCGTGCTTCTTTGGCGCCTGGAGTTTTGAATAGCTCGTTTTGGGGCATGTTGCTGGTCGTGCTTTTCGCCTTGACCCATTCACCCAAAACTGCACTTTCCTTGCCCGCCTGCTCCTCGCTCGCTCGACTCCTGCCCTCCTCGCTACCTTGTTCTCTTTGCCTTTTTTGTTTTCCTTTCCTTTTTTCGCTTCCACCTCAGTTCTGACGCTTTCCTCGCGTTGACCCCTCACACAACGCTTTGTTCCACGTAGCCGCGGCGTCCCAAGTTTGACCGATCCATGATTAGCGGCCCGTCAGATTTTCGTCACACAGGCCACATTGGCAGTGGGGATGGCGCTGGCGTAGGTGCCTCTGCGTGGCCTGGACGAGCTTGTCCTTTCGTGCCGTTTGAAGTCCATTCCGGCTCACAACTCTGCCTTCTGTCCGCACACTGGCCCTTTGCTGTTGCTCGGTTCGCCGCCCGTCTTGTAGGCGCTGGCGACGGTCAAAAATCAGATGGGTTCCAAGGGCTCCACCGAGGGCTCTGCTTCTACCTCGGCTGCCGTAGCTGGTGCCATCGACCTGGCCGAAGCTCAAAAGAAGTTTGGTACGTTTGCTCTAGCGACACGAAAGAAGCGATACACGTTCCGCGCTTCCTTTCTCTCCAAGACCAAGCATTGTGGCAGCAATTCCCACACCCTAGTCTCCAGCTCAAAGCGTGCACGCGTATCAGCTCACCGGACCGCTGACCCACCGTCGCACCCCTCTCTCAAGGCACGTCCGCGGCTGAAGCTAATGCAGAGGCCGAGGCAGCAACAGTCTCGGGAACTCCAGCAACAGACTCTGCTGCACCCGAGCAATCGGTGCCACCCCCTGCTTCCGCCCCCGAGGCAGATGCACCCCCTGCCGCGGAACCCAAGCCTGAAGAAGGCGAACCGCTCAAACCAGAGGGCCACACGGATTAAAGCCTTTGTACCACCGACATTGTCGTCGCGCCGTCCAACCCACCTTTTGTTGTCTGGGCCAACCTGGCCTCGTGCATTTTTTTGGCCCATTTGCTCCTGCTTGCAAAACACAACAACGGCCATGGACGGCACGCCTTCCTCTTTTGATTTTTAAGAAATGGTAACGCTCTGGTCTTTGGGTCTGTGGGCTTGGAGCAAAAGCTTTTTGCGGCTGCGGCGCCTGGTCCGTCGACTCGTGGCATCAGCTTTCCACCTCTGCCCCGCCCACGTTCTTCTGTCTCGTCTGTCCTGCCCTCTCTTTTGTTTTTTCTTGTCCTATTGTTGCGGAAGTGTTCGCCCTGGTTGGTGGCCTTGCTGCTGCTTTCTTTCATGCTGCTTTCTTTCAAACAAGCACTCGAGTTTGCATTTGAGTGTGTCTGTGCTCCCTTTTTTTTTTTTGTTCTTTCTCTGACAAGTTTTCGCGCAAATGGGCACATTTTAACGCGTGTGCCTCCTCATCACCCCCACTCTCCCTCTTGACGCCATTCCTCTCTTGCCTCCTCTTCTCTCATGACCCATGGCCCAGGCTTTGTCTGGGTTTTGCTGGGCGCCCTCTTGAGTGAGTGGTGTTGCTGTTCGTGTTCTCCTTGGGGCTCTTCTTTCCCTGCTTCACCCGTTGTTTTCTTCGTCTGGAGAATATGATTTGGCAAGGGCCGTGCCCATGCCAATTGATGATGATCACATGACAACATGAATCAAAGGCGTCAAAATCGCGTTGTGTGCAAAGACAAGCTGTTCGAGAATTTGCGTAGGCGATGAGAATAACATGATCAACTAGCTGCCGGCCAGAGTGGGGCGTATGAAGCGGGGCTACGAGACCAGGCGACCCAAATGCAGAAGACCCAAATCTCGACCTCAACACTGTGGCCCCCTTCTGACCCCGTCCACAACACACAATAAAAGAAGAAGCAGAGTTATCAAGCTTTGCTGACTGCAAAACCACAAACAAAGAGCGATCAAGCGGCCCTCATCCCCCAACGCCGTGCTGGTGCATTACACAGCAAGACGTAAAATGCGCAGCATCAGCTTTTGGCTCGACATTCAAGACAACTCAAGCTAAAAGCGGCAGTTGATAAGATCGAAAACGACTATGCTGACAGCACCAATTTGTTTGAGCTGGTCCATGACGCTGGCGACCTCCGTTGTCCGAGTCATGGCGGTAATGGAGACCATGCCTTGGTCCAACAGTGGCATGATGGTGGGCGAGTCGTGACCCGGGGTGATGGCAGTGGCGAGCTCAATCTTGTCCTTGGGGCAATTGTAGCTGACCATGCAGTGGCGGGTGGCGGTGATGTAGCCCTGGATGCGCTCATAGATGAGGCGGATCAGGTCGCTGTGCTTGGTGTGAGGGTTGGAAATGAGGACGGACTGCGTCTCCATGATGGTACCCACGGCCTCGAGACCGGCGGCGCGCATGGTCGTGCCCGTCTCGACCAAGTCAACCACGGCGTCAGCCAGGCCCAACGAGGGCGCAACCTCAACGGAGCCTGTCACATATCTACATCAAGGCGCGGGAAGCACGCAGTCGTGAGATGAGGGGGGCCACCAGGTGTCATCGAAGCGTTTGGAAAGGCACAAGCACGCACTTGATGCTGGTCTTGTGGCTTGGGTCGATGCTATCAAAAAAGGTCTTGGTGATGTTGGGGAAGGAGGTAACGATGCGCTTGCCCACGAGCTCCTTGGGAGAGGAGACCGTGCCCTTGGGAGCCTGAAAGCAGAGCTTGCATTTGCCCATACCTAGTTTCATCAGCTCTACCACCTGCCCCGTTCACATGAGAAGAGAAGTGAGGAGTTTACTGAGTCATGGCAAGATTGGGCTGGAGATTAAACGATGAGTACGGTTCTGTGGCACACGAGGCCACGAGGGCAGCGAAAATCAGACCTGAGCTTGGGATTCGGCAATAATATCCTCGCCCGTGATGCCGAGATCGACGTTACCCTCGGACACATACTTGGCAATGTCGGCGGCGGGAAGGAACACAACGGTGACGGGCATGTTGGTGCAGGGAGCCACGTCGAGCCGAGCGGCACGGACATAGTTGAGGCCGGCGCCCTTGAGGATGCTTAGAACGCGCTCGTACAGCCGACCCTTCTTAGGCACAGCCAGTAGGAGGCGCTCTTCGGCAGAAGGCGAGGGTGGTGTTTGCGGCCTATCTTCCTCAGCCATGATAACGATCACTGAGCAGTACGGGACTCTATGGACGGAGTGCAAGCAGCATCAAAGCCCACGGTTGGCAGGTGAGTGGAGCACGAAAGGGGCGGAGCCAGCGAGAGTGCACATGTACATGAGCGCTTGGGGTGTGTGGGGGCAACAGCCAACCGACAAGGATCAGGGAAAAAAAATGGATGCACGCCCGAGAGGGCAAGCAGCAGGATCAGAAACACCCGAGCACAACAGTGGGCGATGCAGCACAACACGGGAGAAGCAGCTAGGGGGGGACATGGGGATAACTCGGTTACCTGAATCTCAAAACAAAATTGAGGGAAGTAACAGCAGCCAAAGTGGAGGAACAAGGCCCAACTCAGTGAGTCGTGGCGCACAGCAAGGCTGGAGGAGCTTCAGGGAGCCTCTGCAGAAACCAATGATCCAAACAGGGCGGGCCTCGGGTGAAATGACATCAGCCTGATGGCTCCGCACGAGTGAAGAGAGAGAGAGAGAGAGAGAGAGAGAGAGAGAGAGAGTTATCTCTCTCATGTTCCTTCGTTTTCCTCTCTCTTTGCCTCTCTCTCTCTCTTTTCCTCTCTCTCTCTCTCTCTCTCTCTCGCTCTTTTGTCTTGTGGATCATGAAGATCTTGTCATGAAGGGGAAGGGGAAGGAAGGGAAGGAAGGAAGGAGAGAGGGAGAACAAGGTGTGTGGAAGTAACACCAGTGGCCTCGATTGATTTGGGAGCACATCAGAGCTGGTTCATCGTCATCTCACTCAACGCACTGGCTGCCATTTCCAGCCCTCTCACTGCCAGTGACTGCCCCTCCCACCCCCTGCACGTGTGTGCAACGAATCAACGTTATGACCTTAGAGAGAGAGAGAGAGAGAGAGAGAGAGGGAGAGAGAGTAATCGCAGTGCAATGAGAACTCACATCTCACTCGCAACACCTGCACCCAATGTCAGATCATTTCGTACACCGTCAAAACATAGGTTGTCAATAATGGGATACAAAAGGAACATGTATATGTCAGATAAAACTGTTCCTATGTTTAGACGCGATTGGCATAGGTAGGTAGCTAACACACACACACACACACACACACACACACACACACACACACACACACACACATACACGCTATTGATCATTTTCTTGTGAACAGCAGCAACAGCGAGTGAGTCAGTCAGTGGTGTGTGTGTGTGTGTGTGTGTGTGTTGGAGTCGTGCGTGCACTCGACTCCACTCGACTCGAGATGTGAATGTGTTCAGTGATCCTTGTTCAAGGGGACTGCCGGATCATGGTGGCAGGGAGCATTGAGATCGGGTGGTGAATGTACAAGCGAGGGCTTGTTATTCCAGGAATGCTTTGCTTGTGCTGGTGGTATCGGCAGGGGGGGTTGGGGGTGGGCTTGAGCTAGACCCACTGATCCGTTGCCGATGACGCCCCAGCGCGCACTGATCCAGCTGACCATGCCTCTGCCTGGCTTTTTAGGATCAACATACTCCATCACCATTGTCATGGCTGCCTCTGCTCTCGCCAACCTCAAGCTCGATCACGTCAGTACCATGCCAGTGTCTTGGACACGCCCCTCGGCACATCATTCATCGCCTCCTTTGAAGCCATTGCCTGTACTTGCACGCTTGTTGACCGTGGCTTGTGGTGGCTGCTGTTGCTGAACATTGTGTTATTTATCGCGTGTGGCCAACACCGATCTTGATGCAACGATTTTGACGATGTGATGTGGCTCATCTTTTGGGTCGTTTGGTGGGGTGGTGCACAGGCGGGCAATCGCCAGCTCTTGGCCCCGCAAACCATCGTGCGATTTCGAAGCCAACACTCCAACGAGTACCTGCGCATCAAGAAGGATGGCTCTGTAGATTGCCGCGGTGGAGACGGCATCCTGACCCACTTCCGCGTTCACATGGGCACCAATAACAAGCACCTCAAGTTTGAATCTCTTGCCCAACCCGGCCTGTACTTGCGCGTCACTGAACACGGCGTAAGTCAACAGACCATTCTTTCTCACCCCCACCCCAAGCACCAGTCCCATCCCCCCACAACAGCGTTGCGTCTCGCCCGGGCTTACCTCTTGCTGGGTGCCTCGCTTTGGCGTGCGTGCGGCAGACCGAGTGCAATGGTAACGGCAAAGGCGGACGCTTGTGTGAATTTGAGGTTCACGACTCGGACCTGGGCCTCATCACGCTCGGGACCGAGCATGGTAACGTTGGTTGCGAGAAGGACGGCACTATGGTCGTGCCCAAGTCTGTCGGACGTGGCCCTCGCGCCCAGCTCATTGTGGAAGCCATCGTGGATCCGGTCTGTCCCTCGTGGCCAGGGACTTGTCGGACATGCTCGCTCGCTTGTGGCATCCATCTCACCGTGTGGTCCGCGGTCCTTTTTGGGTGTCTCATTCAGTCTATGATTGGCATGACGGACGGCTGCATCGTTCGCCTCAAAAGCATGCTGACCCACGACTATCTTCGCAACACTGACGCCAATCATGTTGATGCCAAGGGTAAGGACGGCAAGCTGCCCTTTTACGTCTGCAACGTGGTCAACGGCAACGTCACCCTGCGCAGGTACTCAGCATCAAACCCCCGCCCTTGTTTGTCTTGTGCGCGCGCACGATCCCACACTGGATCCAACCTGTTCAAACAAGAGGGAGCGAAACAGAGCCGCTGTTTGAATAGAACGCGGCAAGGCTTTGTCACGACCCGTAGCACACTCTTCCTCACACGCAAATGGTGTACCACCCACTGCCCTCGCCCGCCTCTTGCCAGCGTGCATCACAACACATATCTCAACGTCAAGGGTGACATGACCCCCTATGCCGACCCCCACCAGCCCGGTTATTTTACCGTCTTTTTCTGCGCCTTTGACAGTATGTGCTTCAGACATGCCACCGCTTTTTGCCTTACCCTTCCCCGCCTCCCAGCTCACGGCGCACCTTGTCTTGCACAAATGCGTAGAGACGATCCTGTTGATCAACGCATCCGCAGGCGAGCACCAAGGTGATCTTGTGGCCGTGGGCCCAGATGGCGTGGGCATCTCCGTCAAGGATGCCCGTGCCTTCAAGGACAAGCCGACCTCTCGCTTCTCTCTTGAAGCTGCCTTGCACCCCATCTTTTATGGTTTGGCCCCTGGCGAGTGGATTCGCTTCCGTAACGAAAAGACTGGCCTCTGCCTCCGCGTCAAGACCGATGAGTCAATCGACTTTGGCGGTAAGCCACCTACCACGCGGGTTTTTTCCACTTTTTTGTTTGTTTGTTTGTTTTGTTTTTTTCCACTCGGTGCGCTGCTCTCCTTGGACGTTAGGTGGTGGGTCCATCTCAAAACACCCTGGCCGCTTGCTTTGTTGCGCTCGCTTGACTCTCAGGCAAAGATGGTGAACGCCCTCACCTTAAGCTGCACAGCGTGCAAGGCGCCGTCGTGCGACTCGAGTCCAAGGTTTCGGGCAAGAACCTGCGCACCAGCGCAGACGGCTCGCGCATTGACGCTGCGGGTGGCGACGGCAAGCACACCCTCCTTGGCATTGTCAACCTTGGCCATGGTTCGTTGTTAATCCGTAAAACACACCCCTCGGCCATGCCCATTGATCCGCCCTCATGTGGTTGTTGACACGCGCTCATCTCTTCGACTCGTGGCTCGCAGGCAAGGTAGCACTCCGAGGCCCCGAAGGCTTCTTTGCCGCTGACAAGCCCCCAAGCCAAGCCACTCTGGCTGATGGTGCTGTGCTTACCATTGAGAAGCTCTGAGCCAGCCAGACGAGGCGGCTCGTTTAATGTTTGCCTTTGTGCTCCCCCCTGTCTTTGTCATCTTACTGTTCTGTCACGTCAATTCATTTCGAGCACGAGTCGTCTCAACACCCGTCACACCCGTCACACACACACACACACACACACACACACACACCATATACAAGTGCCTGACACTTTTGTTCTGCACTATTACGTCATCCAACTCAACCCATGTCTGACATTTATCACACTATCTCATCCATTCCGCCTTCGCAACCCGGAACACAGTCGCTCCGCTCCCCCAAGTGAACGAGCGCGCTCGGCTGCTGGGCGGTCGCGAGGGCAGCCTTGTGTGTTTCCTTCGGCACACTAAATACGCGTCGGTTCCTGATTTGGCTTTCGGCTACGCCTGCCAAGTCTTCGTGCAGGTGTACTGGCTGGGCTCTTGCCTTTCTCTCTGCTCGCATCAAATTGTACATTCAATCTCGCGCTGTGGGCGCCGGGGGGGGGGGACCGAGCAACCCGTCAAGCCAGCCTGATGGCCGAGCACACGGAGTGCTTTGGGCTGCTCCCAGCCGATTGGGAGGCGCTCCAAACCAGCTCTCTCAGAAACATTGCCGAGTTTCAGGTACCGGTGCTGCTGGTGCTGCGTTCTGCTCACATCAATGCCTGTTCTTCCACGGAAGCTCTACCGCTAACCTTCGCAACCAATCACCCACAGGAGCTGCTGGATGTGCTGCAACACGCCGCTCTGGGCCAGCCCGATCACTGGCTAGCTCGACGGCCCCTTATCATTGACGGCAACTACCATGCCGCTGGGGAAGACCAAACATTAAATCGACTTTGGCTGCGACTGGCCAAAATGTTGCTTGAAGTGCGTGAAGATGGACCCCTCATTCTGGAGGCCCATGACTGCACCATCCCCTGGTGCTGGATTGCATGCTTTGATGCTCCAAGCCAACCGCTGATCTGACGCGCGTTTGGTCTGGACGCACCCTGTAGATCTCAAGAACTACACGAGTCGAAGAACAGGTGCATCAGCTTCACCTGGCCAAACTTTGGTATATTCATGCCATTGACGCCTTTGTCAAAGCCGAACAAGCGCTTGCCGAACGCATCAAAAGACGCCAGCGCTCTATCGATGGTCGGACATCACCCTCCAGTACGCCCCTTGCTCTCGAAGGGACCGCATCTTGGTCTCCCCGGGCCTTATTTTTCCACTTTCGCTCTTGTTCTTGCCGCGGATGTTCTGTTTCTCAATCCTAGGTCCCGGGAGTAAACCTCCCGTTCTACCGGCAATTGGCTCCCAAAAGCTACAGGCCTCACCACTAGATATCCCAGCGCCCCCTTCGCCTCACCTAAACGAAAAACCATTGACTTCCCAAGTAGTTCCCCAAATCGGCGCTTCCACCCAACGAGCAGGTCGGTCCAGCACCTGAATCTTGCTTCTTGAGGACAGCCTCAAGCAGCCAAGCCTTCACTTTTGCAGATTCGCTGTCTCTGTCATCTTGACACGCAACGAAAACGGTGTATTTTTAATAGGCATACTTACGGCCACTGTCGCTTCTCCGTTGGATGACACCCAACGAGTCGGGTCCCGCGCCAAGCGGCATGGCCCAATTCGCTCTCATGCACAAAGGTCGACAGCGTTCAAAAGCAACGAAGCTGAAGCGCCTGTTCCTCTGCAAAAGGGTGCGCTTCAGCCTGTTCCTGACATATTGCCTGACTTCGCCTGCTTGCCAGTCTTCCTGGGGTCCACTCACGTCACCACCTTTACCGTCTCGCGTAGCCCACGAAAGCCTCGATGCATCTGCCCTCTTGCGCAGCATCTCGGATCTGCCTGTGGCAACCATTGCCGTACGTCGGTCACCAACCGAAAGCCTCGATCCAGGCCCCGCCAACTGCAATTTCCTTTCTTTTAAATGTTCTTAGGCCTGGTTGGCCACGCTGGTCGCTATCTGCCATCTAAGTCTTGCCCGACAAATGATTCGTGTGTTGTATAGGCACAGCAAGAACTGCGGCAGCTTCGCCAACGCCAACCTGGGCCACTCACTGAGGCTGCCCGTTCGGAGAAACTCACTGATAACACCATTGAAGGCTTGCTGAGACAACAGGCAAGCTCGGGCTTCTCACTGCGCTGAAGAATGGTGCTAATAGACTCGCTCAGAGTACTAACATGTTCATGTCTTTGACACCAACGCATGATAGCGTTCGCAGCGCGATTCAATCAAGTCGACAACCGAGACTGCCGTTTCTCAAGGCAGCCGCCCAAGCACCCGCAGCCGTGCGAGCCCGACTGTAAAGAAGGGTCGACCACAACTGGCCCCCATGCAAACTAGCACCCAACCCGAGCCGACAAACCTAAATATGACCACGGGCGAGCCGAAGGCTTCAGTGGTTAAAACTCGCCCTCATGAGTTCGTCTCTCGCTCCTGACCACGTCTGCGCTCGCGTCAATGTGACTGGTCCTCAACACGGTTGTGCGCCCACCATTTTCTGGCGGCTTCCAGGGTCATGAACAATGGACGATTGGAACAATTGGCCCGGGCTTGGCTGCCCGATTCGCCACTCGTTGCAACGGGGTCTTCAACAAAACGCAGCGCATCCCGCCGAGTCCCCAAGTATCAAGCGGATGACCCTGCCGGCTTGATTCAAGTGACTCGCCTCCAACAGGTTTGCTCGTCAACATGCTATAAAATGGCAATGCCGGGTCGAGCCCAGCTAGCAATGTCACCCCATCTGACTTGTGCTCGTCAGAGGTCTTGCTCATTTGCCTCTCACCCGAAGCTTCTCTTGTCTATGTCGCTTGGTTCGTATGTGGTGCTCGACAGGCTCTGTCAAATCCGCTCGAGAGCTTCATGCATGACGTTTCACATGTTGCAGGACCACGCGATCCCATGAGCATCCTGGCGCAGCATGTACGAGAAGACTATGCCCATGATCAAGAAGCGCTCAAGGTTCGGCGTGAGACCGTCATGGACGCTCTCACAGCGCTTGGCCTGGACCCGGCCCTGACTTCCTTGAGTCAGCATTCCAGCCCCGGTCGCAACACCACCGCCCCGGAGGACCGCAGAGCCAGTCCCTTGCAAGAGGAAGCTGAGGAAGACGATGAGCATACCGATAGACCTTGTCATGACACCTCGGCTTCAGCCGAGACTGATCCAGATTCGAGGCACGCCACAACCAGCGTCGACTCAACTTGGCCAGACAAGACAAACGATTCACACAACGAGTCTTCAGATGAGCCTCACAAATTTGATTATGGTAGTGAAAATGAGAGCTCAAATGAAGATGCTAGTATCCTGTGGCCTGCAGCTGAAGCTGAGCCGCAACATCTTGCGCGTGTACCCTTGGAACACTCGGACCGCGGCTATGCGCTTTCTCGAGGCAAACTCCGACGAGCATCACTTCACGCTAAAAGTCAACAATCCAAGTCCACAGATAATGTTGCTGATCTACTCAAGGTGCGTGCAGCAATTTGTAGACCTGTGTGGTTGCACCAGCATGCTCAATCGACCTCAACTCTGCCATGAACTCCAAAAAGCCTTGCTTCTGCGTGTCCACTGAGTATCTTCTTGATGCTCATGCGTCACTTCTGTTACACAGGTTGTCGGCCGATCAACACCGATGATTGACGTCATTGATGTTCCTGAAGCGCACGCGCCGTCCTTCGAGCCCACGCCCACTGACCCTGATCCTTCCGATGGTAGTGAGGCAGGCGACACAACTGATCCACCGCTGCAGCTTGCCGTGCACTCCATCACCATGGATGCCATGACCGTGCCACCGGCCAAGACGGAGCGACGAGTAGCTAGTGCTGTTCGCATCCAGGCTTGGTTTCGAGGAGCACACTGGCGTCGCAAGCATCTGGATATCCAGTATGTGCCCGCAATTCCCAAGGACTCACCTTCGCCTTGACATTACACCTGCAATGCGTCATCCTTCCAGGCACGCCTGGCGCGTCTTGCGCCCGTTAACCCTATTCCACCGACGTTGACACACCTAATTTTTTAGGAGCATGTCGCTATGGGATCTTAAAACACCGCGTGCTCAAGCCATTGAGCAATTTCACGAGGACAATGACCGTGCACTTAAATCGTTTGGACTGGCTGGCATCAAGGCCGTAGCTTTGGTTCGTACTTTTGCGGATGCGCTTGATGATGTGCGAGGCGCCTGGCTCACAACACCCCCGGCCTCGTTGCAGCCCATCACCTTTAACGGCTTTCTCGAGCATACCAGGCGGCGACATGCCGTGCAAACCGGTTTTCGCAAATTTTGCGACAAAACCACCCAGGCAATAACATTGGGTGGGTGTGGGTGTGCAGCATGCTTGGACTCAAAATGATGCACAACCCGGGGTGGCAAGCCAGACTGTTCCGCGTTGCCAGCTCACTCTGTGCACCGCCCTGCTTTGTCGCTCGTAGAGGAGGGGCATCGTCTGCTGCGCGGGCACCATGACATGATCGGGTATATGCCAAAACAGACGGAATTTCTGGCGGCTGTCAGCGTGGTGTTTCGTCAACCCGTTGATAGCATGGACGCCGGTGCGTGTTGCGTTCGTGGAGAGTGACTGGCTGTTGATGCTGGTGTTTTTTGCGACGATACGAACACCTCCTCACACTCTCATTCACAGGCGTGAAGTTGAGTTTGAGAGCCTTGTTGGATATTTTCCACTTTTTGAAAGAGCCTCCAGGCATTCAGGTCTGTTGTGGTGTTGCAGTCGCCACCTCTCACTTGGATGCGAGCGTACTCATGTCCCGTGATATGCAGCTGCGAACAGCTCGAAGCTTGGAGAGCACGTGGTTGCAGCCGCGTGTGGACGGCCAGGACTCGTGGGCACTGATGGAAGCATCTCGAGATGAGACACCGCTGAAAGCAGTGCGTTTACTGCATGACATTACTGATTGACCATGCCGTCCATTGGTCCCCTTTCTTCTTCTGCCGCCTTTGGGCCTTTGGGTGGCTCAATCGCCTTTTTTCTTGCCGTCTGTCTTCTTCTTCGTGTGATGCCGTAGGTGGTCGATATGATGATGAAGGAAAAGTATGGCGCCCATGCCGTTGCCTTGCAGGCTTTGGTGGACAAGCACCTCGACAGTAGCGATGAGGAGGAGGCTGACTGAATGTATCAGTTCTTTCTTGCACACTAATCAATGTCTGCTTGGTCCTCTGACCAATTTTGATTGAATTTTTGATGAATTTTGATTGATTTTTATGAAATTTAATTTGGTTGCAATTCACTGCAGTGCGACAACTTGTTGCATTGCAGCGCGCGAGTGTGGTTTGGGACAGCCCGAGTGCGTCCGCCGTTTGCCGCTGTGGGGTTTGTTTTCTTTCGGGAGATGGTAGCGTCAAATCCGTGGCAGAGTTGCTGTGTTTGGTCGGCAAGGTTGAATGAAAGGTATGAGACGGTATGGTCCACGCACAAGTTGGCCACAGAGCCACATTGCGAGCCCTGAAGTGGTGCGTCGGAGTATTTCAAGTCGACACTATGAGTGTGGTACGTTTGATTGAGGCAAGACATTCAACCGCAGTTCAACTACGCTGAACTACTCAAGCCCATTGTGCTGTCATCATGTCCGCGTTTCTATGTCTTATTTCCCGAAGGGTCACTCACGCTGTCAAAGTTTAGGTCGGTTGGACAGCGTCAGCATCAATCAGTGGACGAAATGCGAAGGGGATCAAAGTTGAAATCAGGGAAAGGGAAATGCTGGCAACCAAAACGAAATCATGCCTAGCGTACAATTGGGAAGTGCCAACTTCCTTGAACACTCGAAAAACGTAAAAGCACAACACAAGACCGAATTACCCCCATTACATTCAGGAGTAGACACTATGAAAATCCCGAGCATCCTAACGGCGACCACCGCCACGACCGCCACGACCGCCGCGACCACCGCGGCCACGTCCACCACCACGCCCACCACCACGTCCACCACGACCCCCACGTCCACCACGTCCACCACGACCTCCGCCACGACCACCGCCGCGACCACGATCATTTCGTAGACCCTTGGTGAGGTTCAAGCCCTTCAGGTTTTTAAGACGGTTGTGTGAATGCTGCAGCTGCTGGCTCAAATCCACCGGTCCAGTCTTCTTGCCAGTTTTGACCTTCTTAACACGGCCTCGATCGTAATCCTGACAGAAGGCGCGCCAGTGTTAGAACACAGACAAACCAGCTTTGTTGCTCCCGCGCAAGCTCTGAAAACTCATTGCAGCATACCTCATCATACTCCTCACGCTCGAGCTCATCGGCAGCATCCACAGCTGCGCGCTGCGCCGGCTGCTCGCCATCCAGTGCACTGCTCATGGCGCCCTCCCAACTCAAAACTAACGAGCACAATCGAAGTTATGAGGGGAGGGGGCAACAAACACAAAAGGACAACCGGCCAGAGAACTCTGAGAAGCCATGCAAAAGGCAACGGCAGTAGAAGAAGAAGAAGTATTCGGAAATTAACGAAGGAAGAGCGAAAGCAGAAAACCACAGCTAAAGAGCAGCGTACCACCATCATTGGTCTCAGCCAAGCTTTGCGCTACGCCGACTCGGCGCTTGCCATCCCAACCCTGGAAAACGGGCGACGCAAGGATGAGGTGCAGAGCAGTTCAGCGCACATGGCACAATTCGCAGGCAGAGGTTGGAGGCATAACCATGCATGCTGATAAGCCCAGCGACGTACCAGGGTCGCATTCGAGTGTCGAGGAAGGCCGGCGTCCGGCACATATTCATATTCTTGCACGCGAGAACTGGCGGTCGAGGCAACAGGAGCGCCGTCAATAGCCACATCGACGTCATCGTCGCTGTCCGAGGCCAGGAGAGGATCGTCAACACCGTCCAATGCAGGAGTCGACTCAGATTCGGGAGCAAAGTCAGGCGCGTCAGATTCTTCATCGTCGTCGCTATCCGAGTTTGCTGCAGAGCCAGTGGCCAGGTCGTTCTCCTCCTCATCCGTCAAGTAAATGTCTTCCAAGAGCTACATTACGATGCCACCCATGATCCCAGCCAAGATGAAGCATATGTAAGACAGGTTCTTGAAGTCGAGCAGCCTGCTGAGCACCGTGTGAATTGCCGAGCCACCAAAGATGCAACGAACCTGCCGAGCGGCTGCTGAGACTTGCTGTTTGACGTAGGCCAACAAATGTGGCGGACAAGTCTCAACTGTAAGCTTGCCGTCATAGACCACTTGTTCGTCTTCATCCAGGGTTTGCTACGTAACAGACGAGAGATGAGGAAGGTCAGCACCAACAAGAGAGATGAGAGCACGTTTAACATGTGGCTAGTAGAGCGAGAATACGCGAGCTCAGCCCCCAACTCGCTCCAAAGCATGTCATGGCGGGACAACGAACAAGCATACCTCAAGCATGGCATCTTGGACCACGACAAGTGATTGCTCCAAAACTTCATGCAAAGGCTGCTTCATCTGAGCCTGGACTTCTGCTCTCAACAGGCAAACCAATTCATGAGTTTGGATGTCAGCGGGACGGTTTCAAGTACCAGCTACTCGTATGCAAATCAAAGACGCATGCATACCAGGGTCTGCCTGTGCTAGCAGCTCCAGTGTCTCTTCATCGAGCATGGGCCCAAGTTCCGACCCGAGACTGGCGCGTACTGCCTCCAAGTAAGAGGGGGGTGCTTGTGCGGGCATGGGGGTCGAGCCACTTTCTTCTGGCGCACTGTCGGTCATGCTATCTTCCGAGCCGGATGGCGCCGCCTGCTCACCCGGAGGCACCCACTCATCGTCGCTCTCATCGCTCTCAATGGCGGCGGCAGACTGGGTCAAAGTGGAGCCATTGCCCATGATTTTCGCAACGTCGAGCAGATGGGCAGCCCAGTCATCTGCATCGGCATCGTTGAGTGACTCGCTCGACTCACTCAGTGAGTCCTCCAGATCCGAGTCAACCTCATCGCCGTGTAGCTGCAAACGCTGGTCCAGCAAACGGCGTTGTCGTTCAATGACCTGCCGCACACGCTGCTGACGCTGTTTGGCGCGCTCGCGTCGCGCATTCGCCTCATGCCACTTTGTAGGCTCGACGACTTGAAACAGATTGATTTCGCTGATTTCCTGAGGAAGTACGCGCGCACACATGAGCATCAGGATACAAACACGGCACGTGGCCCAAAAGAAGCAAAGGGACAAGATAAGTAGGCCTCACATCAATCGTGGCCGAGGCAGCGCTAATCTTGTATGTAATGTTCCACTCGGTATGTGTGGCCATGAGCACGGGGTCTACGGGATTTGAGCCGGCACCGGAGCTTGCAACTGCATTCGCCATGTCGTCGTCACTGTCGTCACTGTCTGGTTGGGCGGCCTGTCATACACGGGCCTTGATCAGCAATTATCTCCCGAGGGAAAAAACAAAGCCACAGGCCTGAGTACAGAATGGGCAAGATGTACAGACCCGAGGTAGAGAAGAAAGGCCGACAAGTGTCGCCTTGTCCGGGACAGTCTCAGCGGCCTCGCGTGCCACGCGTTTTGCCTGTGGACGACCATCTTCCTCGCTGGTGATGGGGTCAGATGCTAGGGGTGGGGTTGCTTTTGGCTTGGGCTCGGTGGCCTTGGGCTTGGCTTGGGCGTCAGCTTTTGCGACAACGGGTGCCGATGGTCGCGGATTGGCAATCTGCCGACACAAACAAAGGGGCAGTCATCATTATCATGGGCGGGCAAAGGAATGCTGCGGTGGTAACGGGCGGAGCAAGGGCCACATGATGGGGCGCGGTGCGAACCCGCGTGTAAAAGAGGATGTAAGCTTGTTGGCGCATCACTTCCTGTTGACTGGCCGTCGACACCTATCATCACCAAAGAGACATGCGATCAGTTCTAGCAGAGACGGCCCTGCAAACGCCAGGTCCACGAAGAAGAGCGTTGAGGGTCGAGGGTCGAGGGTCGAGGGTTGAGGGGCACACGTACTCGAGCGTCATCCATGCGATACCAGATGTTGTTACTGTTGCGCACGTAGCAATAGTAATGGCCAGATTGAAGCGAGTGGCCTGCATGTACCAGCACAGCGTAGAGGCGATAACGGGTTCCTCGGTCCGTCATACTTGCTTGCTATTTGAGAGTGCGCAAGCTGAAAGTTGAGAACCAAGGAGGATCTGAATGGCTCAAGCAAGGATTAGAGAGAGACGTAAGCTTCGCGGCAGACCTGGGTTTTGTTGACGTAGGGAGCCATGTCCAGAATCTCCGGGTACTGAACAAACTGGCCCACCTTAGAACCAAACATGCTGGCACGACGACGGAAAAAAGATGGCAGTGTCAGCGATGACGCCTGGCCGCAGACGATCAGCACGAGGCACAGGAGCGAACTGTACCTGATGAAGCTGAAACGCTTGAGTTGGACGGTCAGCACGTTGGGCAGGTGGTGGCAGGAGAACTGTTTGAGAGCGTCCACGTATTTGCGGCAGCCATCACAGCGGTACTGGTTTTCCCGCAAAAGCTTTTCAGGGCTGAAAAAATGCCGCAAGGCCTTGTCCAGCTGTGCAAATCCACCATGATCGACCAAGGACCGGCGTTTTCAGGTGATGGAGAGGGACTCACGCGTGAGGAAGCGGCACTTCAGTGCCTACACAAAATGCAAAGTGTTTCCACATACCGTCTGGCATTTGCCAATCTCGAGGGAGAGGTCCAAAAAAGGATCATAGGTGTTGGATTCGTACTTGCAGCTCAAGCAGCGCACCTGGGAGCGCAGATAGCCTGCGTGGGGACGAGGATGCCGCATTCCGCCAGGCCAAAGTCAAGCCGTCGCCTCGCGGTTCGCTACCGGGGTTTCTTAGTGATGCCCCGGTTGGGAGGGAAACGTACCGCCAAAGATGCCATGGATCACTGAGGTCGTCTTGCTGCGCTCATCAAGCTGGCCCACGGTGCTGACGGCCGACTTTTGCAAAGCCTCAATCAGGAAGCGCATAAACTCGTGGGCATCTTCTTGACGACCAAGGCGGAAGCGCTTGTAAATGGCTACGTCAAAGGTGGCGGTCGAGCGGTCGAAGCATGGCATGCGGGAATGAGAAGATGTTGCATTAGGTATCACCAGAGGCAGAGAGAGACAAAGCGAAAGCATCTGCAGAGAAAATCCGGGTACGGACTTCGGAGCTTCGAGACGATGGCTTGGGGTGTTATGCTGGGTCCAGCCGAAGAGCTCAAGGCGCGGCGGACATGGGTGGCCAGGTTGTGCAGAGCATCTGGACCCTACGTGGCGGGGATGCACGGGCGGACAGGGGCAGGGGTGGGGAAAAAACCCACCGATCAGAAAGAACGGGGGCAGGCAGCACATGAGGGCGCGTTGTGGAGTGTATGGGCTAACCTTGTTGCGAGACATGCGGGTGCAATCGTCCGAGAGCAGAAACTGAGCCAAGGCAGGTGTGTACGTAAGACATTGGAGAACAGCGTTGAGGAAGCACGTGTTGCCCATGTTGACGAGGCCAGGGCCAATGCGGCGAGTCTGCTGCCAGTTGAGCTGAAGTTGATCCTGTTCCGAGGCACAAGCAAGACAGGCCAACCAAATAGAGGGCGGGTGCCGCGTTAATGCAGGCGGGCCAGAACATCTGACCAACATTGCGACGTAGGGCAGGCGGAGGGTGTGAGAGAAGGAGGCGGGCAAGCAGCGACCTCGTCAAAGAGAATCTTGCGGGGGGCGGGCAGAGCGGCACCCGAGCCGGGCTGAGTACTGGCGGCGGCATGGGCGGCAGCGTTGCTGTTGGCTTCTACAAGCGGTGGTTTACAGTTTGAGTCAGTAAGACAGACGGCCAGACAGCCAACCAGCCAGACCGACAGACAGACAGACAAGCCGACAGACAAACTGCCGGTTCGGGCCTTTCAAGCGCGCGGGAGGATCCGGCTGCAGAGCAAAGGCCTTTGGCGTACGTTTGCGATTGAGGGGCTTCAGCTTGCTGTTGGCCATACCGCCACTAGCAGCAGCGGGATCACGGGCTGGCTCAAAGGCCATCTTCATGTTCCAGTACTTTTGGTTGCCACGTAGGTGCTATCATGGCCCAGACAAAACCGGGTGGGGCAAGGACAGGGGTGAGCGAGAGAGACTGTTTCCAAGGGAGGGGGGGTGGGCACCTGGCGTAGGACGCGAGTCGCACCTGATCAATGGCATGCGTCTTGGAAGCAGGGCTGCGGCCATTGTGATCTAAGATGCAAAGCGAGCCATGAGGTATTGAAGCTGCGAGCAGAGCCTCGGGGATGATCGCGGTCTCCTCTGGTTCATGCCCTGCTGTTCTTCAAGCCCATGTGTGTGTGTGTGTGTGTTTGAGACGAAGGTCAGGGCAAACCGGAAGAGCAACACGGGTGTCTCAAACCTCACTGCACTGCAAGTCAAGCCCCAGCTGCCGCCACATTCCATGACCGACCGGCCACGTGAAGCAGACAGAGAGAGCAGAGAGAGAGAGAGAGCAGAGAGAGCAGAGAGAGAGCAGAGAGAGAGCAGAGAGCAGAGAGAGAGCAGAGAGAGAGCCGAGAGAGAGCAGAGAGAGAGAGCAGAGAGAGAGCAGAGAGAGCAGAGAGAGAGAGAGCAGAGAGAGCGCAGAAGAGAGAGAGATGTCATCCTGTTTTTGCGCACATGTCTTGCCTGTTTCGAGCATGCTGTGTGTGTGTGTGTGTGTTTGTTTGGCGGCGTAGTTGGTCGGGTCGGTGGCGGGGGAGACATGTGTGGTTGTGTGTATGCACAGGTGATGTTTTGGAACATGGGCATGTGGTCGGGTGGCGGTACGCACCGTTCTGTTGACGGTCGCGCTGCCATTTGGGGTTGGCAGGGCCACCGTGACCCTGCTTCTTCTTCATCTTGCCTGCACGGCCCATTGTGGGGGTCAAAAGTATTACGTCAGCTACATTAAGACAAGGCGTTGTCGCAGCGTCGCATGAGTTTGTGGAGGTCAGGCTATAGGGGCTCAATTATCTGACATTCATATTGTCAGACAAAATAGAGATGCTCCCGTCAGACAAGAGTAAATGCAGATAAATGATGAGATGATGTAGATGGCCATAACAATAAACTTGATGAAAGGTTGGTACAGATGTAGATGATTATCACGAAGTTACAGCATCTGTGCGCTGAGCTGCGAGCACATGACACACACACACACACACACACACACACACGTTTTTTGGTTCAAGTGCAGGAGGCAAACGCGTCGAGGTCGAGGGGTGATTGATTGACCGCATTGCCGACCGTGATTGGGGTGGCGCGTTGTGGGGTACTGGGTCTGAGGGGCAACGAGTGCAAGCCGGTTCCTTGGCGAGAGAAAAATTGCCGGTTTTTGGAAGCTTTGAGGGGTTGGGGTTGGCTGCTTGAGCTGCCGAGCCACATACACACGTGGAATCATGTCCTCCTTTGCGGTGCGTCGCGGTCACCGGCAGTTTGCATGGCCATGTCTTCTGGGCTCGGTTGAGGCTTTGCTTGCTGGTATGGCTCGTCTTGCTCATTAACATCTTTGTGCGTCTGGTATTTTCGGGTATAGAAAGCTGCCAAGGCGCAACGCCGCGCCCATCGCGAGCGCGCTCAGGTCGGTTTAGCTTCAGCAGTCATTTGGAGCAGCATTCTTGCCGCCTGTTTTTTCCCCCCGTACCTGCTAGCTCTTCTCGTAACACTCATTCTCAATTGAACGTATGGGTGTGTGAACGGGATGTGTCATGTGCTTGTCTCTTAGCCGCTGCATCGCTCCAAGTTTGGGCTCTTGGAAAAGGACAAAGATTGGAAAACTCGTCGAGAGTACGTGACAAGGCGCTCTAAGCTGGCCAAGACCTGCTGGTCGTGCGCGCGTGCGCGTGCCATGTTGGCTGGTCCTCACCATTGCTCCTGCCTTTTCCTCCTTTTAGTGACTACAAATCCAAACAGAAGCGCCTGCGTGCCCTTGCCATCAAGGTGTGACCGCTGACAAGAGCTTTGGCTGCGTGTCGTTATCACTTTCCAGCTTGTGCATTGCGCTGACCGCATTGTTTGTGCTACCTCATAGGCCCGCGAACGCAACCCCGACGAATTTTATTTCAGCATGGTGAAGCAGCAAACCAAGGTGGGCTTGCTTGCCTTTTTCATCGCTTTGCCGCCCCATGGCTAGCACAACCGGTCTTCTTCTTCCCGGTGCGCCGTCTTTCGAGTCACTCGAGCTTGTGCCTTCCTTGCAGAATGGCCGCCATGTTTTGAAGGACGACGAACTAGAACACTTGACTGCTGAGCAGCTGCAGGTGTATCGCTCCCAGGACCTGGGATACGTGGGCATGCGCTTGACTCAGGAGAAGCGTCAGATTGAGCGGCTACAATCCGATCTCCACATGCTCGTCAACAGCCAGGGTAGCGGTCATGGCAAGCACACAGTCTTTGTCGACTCGAAACAACAACGTAAGCTGCCCGACTTTTCACCTCGTAGCGATCACTTTTTATTTTCGTTGTTGCTTCCACGCTTTGACGTTGGCGCGTGTCACTCCATTATTGCATGCAAGTTTAATCATTTCCTTTGCCTTTGCTTGACTGAAACGGACCCATTGCAGTCAAATCATTTGATGCTGCCAAGCACTTTGATACGCCCCGAGAGCTACTCGACCGACCATTCAATCGGTTGCATACTAAGCAGTTGCAGGAGACTGAACTCGTCATGCCGGAGGCGCGTGCTCGCAAGGTTAGTCGGCTGGTCCCTGACTGGCACTCCGAGGGTCATGAATTTAGCCATAGAACCGCGTTTCTGGCTGCATCATGCCAAAAGTCTTTTGTCTATTGCCTTGTGCTCACGTTCAAGTCTATTTGTATTGTCTAGAAAATGAATCGTGCTCGTAGCCGAGCGTACGAGGAGCTGGCGGAGCGCAAGGATCGCGTCACTAAGATTGCCAAGGTCGCCAACACTCTGCAGCTTCAGAAAAATTTGGCTGAAAAGGGTGCACGCACCAAGGTCAAGGGCGGCAAAGGGAAGGCCCCCGTGTACAAATGGAAGCAACAGCGCAAACGATAGCAACTTGATGCTGGCTGTTCGTGTTGCATCCTGCCCCCGCCCCCCCTCTTTTTTTTTTTGTGTCTTATGAGTTTATGAAAGAGTGTGTCGACGGTTCTGTTCCACGGCTCTAACAATCGATCTCGCTGCGGTATCTGCCGACCGCCTTCCACTATCCTTATACACGGGGGTGGGGCTGTCCAGGCCAAACATCAAAAATAATTGGAGGTCGTTCAATTCTGGCCCAAGTTGAAAACACGACACAACAAGCGCAGCTTGTGCGACCGTTTCCTGAGCGGAGTTGAGTTCAACGTGTCGAAAGCACAGTACACGTCACGCCTTGAAGGCCGTATCCATAAGCTGTGCACTGTACTCAATCGCTTCGCCCGTATCGCGCGCCCTGCAAGCATCAAGGCAGCGAGATACTTGAGTTGAGTTTTGATACGAGGTTTGAGGGGCGTGAAAAACAGAGCCCGGCGATGCGTGCGGCGGTCATCCATTCAAACGCAAATGGTTTCGGTGCAAGAACTCACATGCCCCGACCAATCAGAGCGACAAGGGCGGCGGCTTGTTCAGCATAGCGGCGATTGCCATGGCCGGCTGATGTAGCATATTGTTCACCCAACCAGCTATCGCGCACGCAAACGTTTACATTGTGAGGCCGGGCATACCACATCACTTGACATCCGTGTTTGAAGCACGCTCGCCGAACGTACTGGCAGACGGCAACGAATTTCTTGTTAACGGGTGTGCTCGAGAAGGAGGGCTCTTCCAGCTGCATGCGCTGCGTGTACGCCATCAGCACTTCCTTGGGAACGCGATACTTGCGCCGTTTTGCCCGCGTGTACTAACAATAACCACACCACACAATACTGCAATGAGCTGTCTGCACCAGGCAGGCCGTCTGCACCCCCAGACTCTGCTATTGTGCAACGGGATCGCTGGACAAATAGCCTCGGCTCTCGTGGCTGACCCTCTTTCTCCCAACGTAGGGTCCCATATCATCTGGGCCAAACGCACCACCACAGGCATGACGATGGCGTCAAGCTTGCTTTGTTTGGGCGCGGGCTGACCATCCTCTTCTGTGTCAGCGGCCAGTGCGGCCTCGGCAGCCGAGGCGGCTGCGGGGCTCAGCAAGCTTTGCAGAGCTTCCTTGGCCATGCGCTCATCCGAGTTGTCTAATCCAGGCGGGCGAGCATGAGCTCAGTCAGGGCTATTATGGTCAGTGCTGGTTCTCGAGCGCCTGACCAACCACGTACCGGTTGAGCGAAGAGAGTAGCCTGTGCTTGCTTCCAACTCGCGGTGTCGGGCAGCGACGGCATCATAGTAGTCACCCAGATCAAACATGACAGCAAGGTCACGGGATGTTCGCACCGCGTGCAGTTGGGGACCAAGCTCCGTTGTCAAATTGTGAAGTGCTTTGATGACATTGTACTTCATGTTGTCCAGCACGATATTGTAATCGACGGCAATCTTGATGTAGTCTTTGACCACTTCCTGCTGTGTCTTCAGTCCTGTCCAGACCAACAACACACTGCATGTGAAAAAGCAGGCAGCAGGGAATAGCCAAAGGAGAAACATTGGGCCAAGGCTGGTTGCTTAAATTTCAAAGATTTTTGGGTGTGTGACGGGGGTCACTGTCTGACCTTGCGGCGAAAAAATGCTCATATTGTACTGGGCCGCCCGGGCCACCATGACGGAGGAGCATCCGCATTTGTCCTGTGGCACCCGTCAGCATAAGCTGCGGCTTGAAGGACGGCGTGCGGCAATCATGCGCACCCTTCACACCACCTGCTTGTACATTGCCAAGAGCGCAAGCACAGGGGCATGGGTGATGGGTACAACTCACCCGAAAGGCCAGAATGTCATCATAAGAATCCATGTCCAGCGATCCGCCGTTGCAAATGACTGGTATTCTGCAAGCTTTAGCAACGGCGCGAATCGCTTCGTACTGATAATCTGTAATCGGTTCTCGCGGACGCTGCGAAATGACCGTCGGCAGTCCCCGATGCGATTTGCAGTGAGTTGGACCGAACAAAGGCACGCATATCATACCCCTGGTCGGGGAGGGTGTGCGAGGTTTCAAGGGTACTTCAAGGCGGTCTGGAAGAAAACGTCAACGCACTTGGTTGGGAACACGGCCATGAATGCCCAGGGCGGCAACACCCGCGTCTTGAATGATGTTGACCAGGTTGAGGGTTTCTTCCAATGTGGGTAACACCCTAATTTTACAAGTGATGGGCTACAGCTCGGCACGACGATTCGCAGTCAAATACAGACAGGAAGAACATGGTAGGCACGCGAGCGAGCGTGCGTGGGTGTGTGCGTGGGTCCAGGGAGCTCAGACCTTGGTAGTTGTAGCTACGAGGGAGGTGAGGATGTCGCGAACACGATCAGGCTGACGTAGGAGAGCTGCACCCATGTCTCCTTTGATGCTGAAAGGCTTGGGGCAGCCCATGTTGACGTCAATTCCAGCGACGTCAGCAGCCATCATCTGCATGCGCGGGCAAAGTGTGTGTGGGTAGTTTGAGGCATGGTTGTCAAGGCAAGTCGCAAAGGTGGGACAGGCTGGGGACGTACCTGAGCTACACGAGCTGCACGGTCAGGGTCGGAGGTGCCAATTTGCAAGATGACGCGGTTTTTCTCCTCAGCACAAGTCCGAAATGCAACCTCGCCATCACCATCAATATAGTCGATGGTCTGGAGCACGGGATTCTCCACCCGACGACAGGCCAGCTACATCACCACGAGGCAAGGGGGAGACGTTCAAATGGAGCTGCGCTGATCAACGCAGTCGCCATCGCAAAGTCGCCAAAACCACGGCACACGGACTCATTTGGGTATGGGTATTGCTGATAGGTTCTCGTCTCGGGCGTTGACTCACCATGCGATGATCAATCAGCTCTTCCGAGTAGACCAAATCCGCGCCGTAGCGGAGGGCCAGCAAGCGTGTGGGTAAGGTGCCCGCGCGCACCATAGGCGCCAGCATGACCTTGTTGGCATACATGGCACTCATCTTCTCGATGATCCAAACCAATGCAAACTACACCGTCCTCTTCAATGCTGTTAACTCTTGATCTCCCACACCGCCGCCGCTGCTGCTGCCGTCGCCGCCATCGACCATCAACAGCCACGACCTCACACACACACACGTGAACGTGAACGTGAACGTGAAGATGAAAAAAAGAGTTTTTTTGAGACATGAATTTGCTGACATTTGAAGAGAGAGAGAGAGAGAGAGAGAGCTCAAGAGAGAGAGAGAGCTCAAGAGAGAGAGAGAGCTCAAGAGAGAGAGATAGAGAGCTTAAGCAAAGACACAAAGGAAAAGCACAAGCTTAAGAGAGAGAGCTCAAGAGAGAGCTCAAGAGAGAGAGAGCTCAAGAGAGAGAGAGCTCAAGAGAGAGAGAGCTCAAGAGAGAGAGCTCAAGAGAGAGAGCTCAAGAGAGAGAGAGAGAGAGAGAGCTCAAGAGAGAGAGCTCAAGAGAGAGAGAGAGAGAGAGCTCAAGAAAGAGAGCTCAAGAGAGTGCTCAAGAGAGTGCTCAAGAGCTCAAGAGAGGGAGAGAGCTCAAGAGAGAGCTCAAGAGAGAGCTCAAGAGAGAGAGAGAGAGAGAGAGAGAGAGAGAGAGAGAGAGAGAGAGAGAGATGAATTAGAGAGAGAGAGAGAGAGAGAAACAGTTTAACGGTATTTTTGAATCAACTGAAAAATTTTCAAGTTTTTCAATTTTTTTCTTTGGATCTCAACGGAGGGGAGCTTTGCCATGTCTGGCATCCCAACGCCCAAACGGGGCATGATCCCGCGCGGGAGGCCACGGGCGGCGGCGTTAAATTCTGGTTCTCACCATGGGCGTCGCCGCCGAGGCAATCCAAAGGTATGTGGAGATGGGAAAGCCCCCCCCCCCCCCTTTTTTTTGTTGTTGTTGATTGTGCTGCTGTTTCGCGTTGGCTTACACATGGTGTGCAGCGGGTCACGTTTGCCACCGGACCCGCCACAGAGCATCGAGTGCATCCCAACACCCCGCCAATGACGCATTCTTTGTGCCAGATTGTGCCCCACCGTTCACAGCTTCCCCCCTCCGTCAAGGTGCGGCAGTGCCGTTGATGAAGACGGCTTCCGTCGCATCCACGTCAATGCCTTGTGGAATCGCCTCCGCTGCTGAGGACCACGCTTCTTCTCATGCTGGGTTGCCATGTCGCGGCAAACAACAGGGACCGCTGTATGGACAATTGCATGTGCAAGTTGACCATCTTCTATGGTCGACCATGACGCCTCCACGTACTTGCCACGTACAGCTTGCCTGGTGGGGCGATAGCCAACCCCCGACCATCTTCAGGTCTGAACAAACTAGCCGTGAACAATCAGCCGTCCATCTGCCCGCAATGCTAATGCTTGGCGTGCATCTTTATGTCCGTGATGTTTGCGTGTACACATAGGCCACACGTCGGTCTGCATGCTGTTCCGCCAAATGCGCCCGCCCAGCTGGCCATCTATCCCGTCCATGCTCAAACAGCGCCCTTGTATCAGTACCTGACTGACATGGGTTGGATTGGATTCGATGTCGTTGATACAATTAAGCGAGGTCAGGGCCATGACTTTGCGCCGCTCTTATTTTTCCAGATCTCATCGCGACCAGCTTAAAGCCTGCTCCCCTCTCATGCTGGTCATTTTGCTCTCTAGTCATTATCGGACGGGCCGAGCTGAAAATGTCCCGGTTCCTACTGGGTGAAGGGTATACGGGTGACGTCCCAATTCTGTCTCCTGAAACCAAAAAGGTGGGCTTGAGCCGCCTCGTGCTTTCATCTGAATGTTCGCAGTGTTGTTTCACCATGGTGACTATCTCTTGTCGGGGTGCCGGGGATTTCAGATTGGCGCGCTGAGACTCAAAGTCGCCTATCACGCGGTGGACGCTGCAAACCCAGTTGCTACCCACATGGATGCGCCAGATGGTTCTTCCCCACAAAAGTCCCGTACTCCGCAGTCAACATTGTCGGGCAAAGGCTCCGAAACAACGGTATGCCTTCAAACCCCCGAGCCGAATCTGGTCGGTGCTATGGCATGCGCGTGCCATCTCGTGCAGATGGCGCTGACTCTTGGTCACCTTGAACTTGGCACCTTCTTGACTCCTTCTAGTCGACATCACCTCTGGAGTCTGTCAACCCAGCAGCCCCCCTCTTGCCTGTCGCTAGCCGCACTTTGAAGGACGCGCCACGTCAAGCCAGCTCAGTTGGCCCAGCCTCAGACCACCTTGCCACGATCACGACATGTAAGTGTCGCAGAAAGGCTGATCGGTAGTGGCCGTGTCATCAAATCGCAAACCTTCAAACTCGCTATATCCTCACGCCTATCCACTCTCTTGTTCTCATCGCTTAGCTTTACCTCACGAGGAGCCGGAGTCAGCAGAAGCCGATGCAGATGGTGCCCTAGATGCCCTCATCGCACGTGGTCAGCGCTTACAAGCGGAGCTTCACACTTTTGCTGAAGAACTAAAGGGCGACTTTTCCCAATCGCCCCGGACCGTGCATGACATACCCTATGAACATCGTCATGCCTCGGCGAGATCTTTCCACGCCGCGCACTCGACTCCGTTGGGGCGTGAGTCGAATTTCGATTCAGATACCGAGCTGCTCGTCGGGGCCGTTCAACATTCTCGGGCACTCCAGCCCGATCCGAATACCAGTCTTGATAGCCTGCCTTTGAGTGATCAGAACTTACTTGATGAGCTTCTCTACCGTGACCCTGACCTGGACACTTTTCCTGCAACCTGGCCGCATCTACCCGGCGACGCAGCAGTCTCCGCCGCCTTGAACGGACAAATGGGAAAGGGGATCAGCTCCACTTCGGCCCCCTATCCCGCAACCCATATGACTGTTGCTTCAGATGCACAATGGCAGCAAGAATCTTCTCATGGTCTCCAGTTGCATCACAATGAGCCGGGACCACAACAGTCACGGTCGCCACGATCAGCTTCTTCGCCAAAGGCACAGCGCAGCTCCGCAAGCGCCGCCAGCGTGACTCGGCCTTTAGAGCCAAGCATCCGGCCTCATCAAATTGCAGATGTGCAAGCGGGTTCTGCGATCAACAGTACCACAGAATTCCCACGTGAGAGTGTGGCACGAGGGCATGAGCCATACTCAGATCCAGTCACGCTGGCCGGTCAGACGTTGAGCCGACCACGTTTTGAGCAGCTCCTACGGCTTGATCGCCTTGCCTTTCTTATTGCAGATGTAGATGCTGGGGGTCTGCAGCCACCACCCTGGACCGATGCTGGGCGTGAGCAGATTGAGCTTGAGTTCTCTTTGCCCGCACAAGGCATTCTGAACAACGTGGGCGAGCCAGATATGGATGCTCACATCGTGCGTGTCTCCGCCTCGGCCTGCTCAAGTGACGAACTCCTTTTTAATCGCCGAGTTGACTTGCGCGTCCAACTCGATGCCGAGATCCTTGAAGTTTGGTTGCGCTCAGTCGTCGTGTTTCGGCTCGTTCGGCTTGAGGACAATCGGGACGAAGCTTTGGAAAGCAACAGCAGCGACAGCAGCAGCAGCAGTAGCAGTAGCAGTAGCAGCAACAGCAGCAATAGCAATGGCGACAATGAAATGGATGGTGATCGAGGCACGCGCTCCCGTGTTCTGGAAAGGGCTGGTCCGCGTCACGCTGCCCCTCGACGACAGCTCCTTGCAGTTGCATCACTCAACTTGGCTACCCTATTGCAAGCCTCGGGCGCTGGGGCTGGCATTGAACTCCCGCTCACCAACTTGCATGCCTCAGCCGTGGATGGTTGCCAAGCCGTCCTACACGCCAGTGTTCAGTTTGATTATCACGCCAACGAGCAACCCGAAGCTGTCGGAGAAGCGCCCGGATCACAAGCGCCACCACTGACAGCTTCTGTTTCGCGGGAATCGACTACGCCGACAATTTTACACGTCCTTCTGCAAGCCACGGACGTGCGTGGGTTACAGCCGCGGCCTATCTCAAAGCTACCGCACAACCTCTATCTGCGCTCGCGACTGGGAATCCAGCCCGAGGCCGTGACCTCGCCCGTGAGCTGGAGCACAGACCAGCCTCGCTTTCAACACCAGCATCTCCTGCCCGTACGCTACAGTCCCAAACTGGTTCAAGATTTGCAAACAGCGCTTGCTGTTCTCGAAATTTGGGACCGTGCCGGCAGTGATGACGGCACTGACCGGCTCATTGGCCTGGTCAAACTCCCTTTACATGATTTTTACCTCGCCTTTAGGGATGTCGAAGTGGCACGGGCAATCCTTCGTGCAGAATTGCCCGTGTTTGCGGCCAATGACTTTCAACCAATTGTAGACCCAATCTCTGGGTCTCTACAGGGACGAATCAAAATTGCTTTGGCGGCGGGCTCCCAACGTCAAGTAGCCCTACTCTTGCGACATCGACTGACCCCTCGTTTAGAGGACGAGGCTAATCAGGAGGAAACAAACAACACAGACGCAAGCCAGTCAGATCTGGACGCACGGCGCCGTGCCCGGGTGCTGTTTACCACCGATGGGCCTCGGCAGGTTGATGATCGCTCCGGCTCTGGAAACAAAGTCTCGGGCACTGCTTCCAATCCGACCCTAAATTCCACCATGTCGATCGACGAAACTGGTGACGCTGTTGCGGACGAGCTCGACACGGGCCTATCGCGTACCATCGTAACCATGCATCTGGAGGCGCTCCAAGATCTGGACTTGTTTCAACACAGCCTCTACGGCGAAGCGGACTGCTTCATCGAGTATACTTGGCCAGAGTCCAACGAGCGAGCAGTTGAACAGCTCTTGTTGCGCTCCATCAAACGCTCTGGCAACCTTCATGAACTGGATGGCGCTGTGCCAGCTCTAGGCCCTCGCCAATTTCATAGGTTCGTTTCGGTTGCGCACGGACGCAGCCAGCCTTTATTTTGTTGTGCCTCGCATCTAACCGATTCTCACTCCCCTTCCCTGCACGCTGCTTTTGATGGGTGACGGTTTGCAACATGCATAGGTCTGAGCCTGTGTTGTGTGTTCCCAACCCACTCCTTGATCATCGCGCGTCGCATAGTCTCGTGTCTGAGCGCGCCGAGGCTGCCGCCACTATGCTTGTGGCAGCGCTGAGTGGAATCGAGCATCGAATTGAGTGTAGTGGCGTGGAACTACATTTGGTGCAGCGTCGATATGCCCCAAGCCAAAGTGATCAGCGTGTGGCCGTTGCTGTGCTACAATCATCGCAGATTCGCGCTCTGTTGCAGGCCACTTGTCGCGCCCGGCCAGGCACGACCATGCAACAAACATGGCGCCTACCGCTTCTGTCAACACACCACCAGTCCCGGGTTGGTACGCTGATCCTCTCCCTGCACTGCCGACAAGAACCTCTGACTTTACCAGAGGCAGCCAGTGCAGCACTGAAGCAAGTGCGCCAGACAGGATTCACATCTGAGGCCACGAGGCTTGACATGCCTCGTCAAGTCGTTCGGGTGCGGCCCACCCGCTTGACCGGCTTGGGGTCAGCCATGACAGCGCTGGCAAACGAAGTACGACGCAAAGAGCTGCTCTTGGCTGCCGAGCTGGGTGGCTTCTTGTATTTGCGTTTGGCTTTGGCTGGTCGAGCCGGTCACGTGGAACCTCAAACAGAGCGAAGTGCGCTTCCAGACATGAGTGCGTACGCCCGTTGCTCGCCATGGCACTCCACGGCCGTTTCGAGCCGCGCCTTTGCGCCGCAGTTTGCAGATGAAGTGGTTTTTGAAGGTGCAGCAGACCATGTTTTGGTGCAAACATGGCTTGCTCTTCAAGGCCGCCCCTCAGCTGCCGACCTTTTGCTAGCTGAAACTGCTGTCCCCATTCGCCGCATGCCTCAGGACACCGGGTTTGTTCGAATGTGGCGTCCCCTTGTGCGGCCGACAGGAACTCCAGAGGTCCATCATGTTGAGTTGGCATCACCTGAGGATAGACTTGGAAGTGCGCAGGGCCAGGCAGTCGGTGCGGTAGAGCTGAGCATTCAAGCCGCTCCCGTTGTGGGTAGTCCACCCACTCCGGTGCTGAGCCCACCTGCGTTTCTGGATCGCCATGTTCAGCTGCAGCTCATTGTTGAGGAGGCACTTCTTCCAAATCGTGTCCGAACGTCTGACGGTGACGGGGCCTGGCAATGGCTAGACCGGCCTCAGCTTGAATTTTTCGTGCGCTATACCTTACCAGATGGGCGGTTGCAAGAGTCACGGCCGTGTCGTGCACAAGCTCGAGCGCGACAATCAGGTGTCGTGTGCAATCTGCAGCATCGAGGTGCCTTTTCCCTCATCCTGACGCCCACGGCTGCGGCAGCTCTCGTGCGACAGCTTGAGGTTCAGCTGTGGGTGCGGACTACCAATCTCCGATCAGGTCACGAGCCGCCATCTCCACACCACCAATCGTCTTCAGCCACTGGTTGTCAAATGTCCGCCGACACCGTCGATGAGACTTGGCTTGGTTCAGCATATCTTGATGCAGCCCCCCTTCTTCACGGCAGCTTTACGGTGTCTGACCTCTTGCCACTCGTCACGCCCAATGCGCGTGAGATGTCGGGCGCCCAAGTTCGCGTGCATGCAATTTTGGATCTGCTGGAGAGCGGGGCCAGGGTTCCACATGGCACAGCCCCCGATACAGCAACGACTGATGTTCATGGCACGTCTGTGCGGGACAGGCCGCTGGCGCCTCACTTGATTGGCACGCAAGAATCCGATGTTCAGTCAGCGGGGGTTATGTGTTCTGTGGCTGTGACTCGTGCGTTACATCTGCAGCTGGGTTCGCACCCATTGCCTCGTGCCTACGAAACATATGTTTCCTACGCAATGGGTTCAGAGGTCCAGTGCACCCAAGTAGTGGATGCTGGCGCGTGTCCTACCTGGAATCATGAGCGCATGCTGTCCATTCCCTTTAGTGCCGGCGACGCTACTTGCAATCAGCTTCTATTCAAAGTGTGGTGCCGCTCCATGTCAGCCACACCTAGTCAAGAGCTCTTGCTGGGCACAGCAGCGGTAAATCTTGAGCCTTTGCAGTATGGACTGCGGCAGCTGAGTGGCTGGTACCATGTGTTTTCGGAGAGTGGTCACCAAGTGGGTCAGCTGTGCCTCACTGTGCAGCCGACACAACCCGTCCCCCCACCACCGCGCGTACAAGCTGTGCCCGAGCTGCGGTATCAGGCATACCAGAGGCCTGACTTTGTGCCTCCAGAAGCATCAAGCAAGCAAGTGCCGCTGCTTGAGGACAACAATGTCCTGTCCTCCAGCTTCTTGCGGCGCCAATTGCAATCCAATCTGGAAGAGCTTTCTCAGCTTGGTAATCGCCTCGGCTACTCGTCTTCAGCAACGGCAGGGCATACCTCCCCGCAACAGCACCTTGATGACTGTCACCCACACCAGGGTCCGGAGCTTGCACAAACCGATTCCCAGCAGGTGCCGGCCTTCTTATCGACCGGCTTACATTCCCATGATCAAGGAGAAACAGCCCAAGTCGACAATCCCTTACAGCGAGCTCGCAATTTGTTGAACCGTCTGCATAGCGTGGGTGTGCCTCAATCGTATAGCTCGTCTCAAACACATCCCACCCAGTTCGCAGCTCCTCCCCGTCATTCCCCAGCCTTGCTTGCGGCTGGGCAAACTCCTGCGCGGGGAGCTGATGTAGATGGCGGCGGGATCAATGAGGAAGTCGATGCCTGGAATACGACCGTGAGCACGGAAGCAGCGGATCATAGTCTTGCTGATCCCCATGACACGAGCCAGACCGAGGGCAATATAGCCACGATCGAGTCACCACATCCTTCAAACATCGTTCGTTCAAGCGTGGCGGCAGAGGCTTCGACGGCTCCACCACCGCTTGATGAGGCCTCGGCTGGAAATGAGCCAGACGATCAAGCCACTGCTGAACCAAACACATCCCCGGTGCACGATTCAACAGAAGCGGCCCACGCGTCTCCATCGCCAATACGGTCCATCAAAAGAGACGCTCAAATGCCCTCAGAACCAGAGGGTGGATGGGAGTCAGCCATCAGCACCCCGCTTTCCCTCTCTCCTTTATCTAGCCGCGGTGCCTCGCCCATGCCGACCAATTCCCCTAATTGCTCGGCAGCAGCACCAACCGCCGCAATGGCACAGACAGCTTTTGAGAAGGCAGCAGCAAATAATCATCCAGGTCAAGTGTCAGGGGCTGAACCCGAGACGCACCGTCGCTCGGTTCGGGTTGATGTAGTTCGAGCCGATAATCAGCACTTTATTCCTCACGAGTACCGGCATCAACCAATACAAGGTATGTTTGAGTGAGAACCTCGCAAGCCCCTCATCTCCTTCGGTTGTGCGCACTCGTCATGTCGCTTGGTGTTGGTTTAGCCTGCATAGCATACTTACCTTTTCTGTACACTTTTGGCCGCTTTCCTGCCCTACCTAGAAGCTGCTGAGCGCATGCCAACGCTCATGCGCGCGCATACACCTGACACTGCCGCAAAAACCTCTAAAACAGGTTCCAAGGAGGCAATGGCCGCGACACACAGAGAAGCGAGCGCCCCATCAGGGGCACGGGCGAGCGAGTCAGCTCCAACAACAAATTTACCTGCGTTGGCGCCTGAGGTGAGTGTGGGCACATCTATTTTTGGTTTATTGATGGACGCTTCAAATTTGGCAGCCTCACAGTTCTTTATGGCCCTTGCCACAGGAGTTGAGGCGCATCGCAGCAATCTTTGCCTCTCGATTGCAGTAGGTCTATTGGTGTCAGAACAAGCACTGTGTATTTATTATCATTTTTTTTTTTTGGGTGATGATAGAGGAAGCATACATCGATGGATGTGTTAATCGATACAGGTCAGCAACAGTCGAGTTATTTTGTCTTTTGGACAAGGCCCCCAAGTCTTGTTTCACGTATGATTTGTGTCCAACGAAAGATCGTTGTTAAAGTCGCCATTGAGTGAAGTTGTCCGTCAGCTCAGGAATAAGAGTACAATTCTTGTGGGACAATCTGTCTCGCTTGGATATGAATCGTTTAACAGTAAAATAACAAAGTCGAGCGCCAGCTACTGAGCAGTGCGTGCAGTTGTGCAGCAAAGCCAAAATAGACAGGCACGACCGTGAAACAACAGAGGGAAAACAGAGAAAGTGTACTGGGCATCGGGCCGAATGCCCGGCGTTGAGTCAAAATATGATCAACGCAAGAACAAGTACAGGCACGCTGAAAGAATGACAACGACAATCAGCCGGCGGTAAACGCCATCATTGTTGGCACTGCCAACACAACATTAGTAGGCAAAAGCTAGGCTGCTGGAAACATGCAGCAATGAATCGCGCAGAGCAAAGAAAAGAAGAAGAAGAAGAAGAAGAAGAAGAAGAAGAAGAAGAAGAAGAAGAAGAAGAAGAAAGAGGAAAAAGGAATAAAACATATGACGCATGGCGGGAAATGACACGCAGGTCAAACACGGGAAAACGAGATAAAACAAACAATGCACCAGTGAAGCTGAGGCAGCACCACGAGGGGTGGGAACCCATCTGGGGTGAAAAAAAGAACCAAGAAAACACAGAAGACAGAACAAACACAAAAAACCAAAAACCAAAAAACAAGAGATGCAGAAAGCACATGGCTAAGGAAAAAGAACATAAAGAGCAGCGCAAATGACCGCATCGCGGAAAAACTGCATAGAGTCCCCTGTCTCATAGTTGATCTGCTAGGTCACCCAGGGTTTGACTAGCCGAAGCTGGGGGTTGCGCTTGGCTTTGACTTGGCTGCTGACCAGCCGCCAGCGCACTTGTCAAGATACCCTGGGCTTGTGACTGGCCTGACGAGCCCCCTGCGAGGCGCTCCCGAACCTGGCGCTACAAGCCCAAAACCAACGGGAATGCAACATGAGCATGCAGGCAGAGCGATCAACGACGGTCATCATCGCGAATGATGCCCGACCATCCGACTCGTACCTCATGCCGCGCCTTTATGAGGTTACGCAGCAGCTCGGCTTGGTTGGGAGGTAGACGTTTAAGCTCCACCTCAGCCTGTGCTGGAGGCATCGCAGCCAGTTTGGTCACATAAATCATCACTTGGCGCTGCTTCTCGGACATATTGCGGCCTTGACCGCTAACAGCGGGTTGGGTGGCAGCAGCACTTGAAACGGGCTCTGCCTTGGCGGGCGTAGCGCGAGGTGCACCCGCAACTGATGGCGTAGCCGTAGCAAGCTGGGGCAAGGCACCTGCGTTGACGGCAAGCGCATGTCCCTTCTTGTGAAGCTGCAAGATGAACGCGCGTAGTTCAATATAACGCGCATGCATCTTTTTTAAATGAGTCTCGTCGGTCTTGGATGCGGCAGAGTCGCGAGGTGCTGCCTTTATCTTTGCTTGCAGCTGAGCCATAGCTTCCTTGATTTTCTTTTGATTGAGCATGGCCGTTTGGTAGTGCTTCTGTTCCTATCACGATCAGACGCAATGGTTCCAGAGACACAAACAAGCGAAAGGGCGCGATGCAAGGCGGCTACGTGAGGGCATAGCACGCAGAACCAGGGATCATTGCTTGCAGCAAGAGATCGGGGCGAACCTTTTCGGGAAGATGGCGCAAGACGATGGCTAGGGCTTCGCGAGTCATGGGTGCATCAGTAGCAGCAGCAGGCGCGGGCGGTGCTGCGGCGGCCGGTGTGCTATTCATGTGCTCCATGACGTTCATGCGACGAGCCTAAAGGACAAATACGAATCAGGAGAGAGAGAGAAAGAGAGAATTATTAGTGATTTCAAAAACAAGAGAGAACCCCCCCCCCCCCCCCCCAAAAACCGAGACGACGAAGACCAACCTGGGTTTGTTGACGCATGAGGGCCATTCGCTGATTCTCAGCAAAACGGGCCTTGCATTGTCGACACAGAGGAATCTGACAGTTCGAATTGTTGCAGACCTTGGCATGGTGCGCCACGATAGTCAACAACGGTTTGCACTGCGCACACTGCGAGCTGCGCATGTTGCACGTGTTCATGTGCTCAATCATGCCCTTAATTTGTGGGCAAGCCTTTGTGTCACACTGCGGATTTTTACACTGATGGGCGTGGTGCAGGGCCAAAAGAGCGCGACGCAACGTTTCGACGCTCTGCTGTGATCGCGTCATCTTTTGACCATCGGCATTGACGGCAGGGGCCATGCCAAGACCAAGCTGCTTCATCTCATGCTTGTGCACACCCTCCTTGTGACACTTGACGCAAAGGTCATAGTCGGGGCACACCGTGCAATGGTATCGAAAGTCCATGCTACTGATTTGCGTTGAGCAGTGGTTGCAGGTGTAGCCCGATGACTCATCAGTATGCAGCTTGTACAGCATCATCATACTAGAATAAAGGGCTCGTCGGCGCGTGCTAAACTCATGGTTGTTCTCGCGGCAATGTTGCAAGAAAGGCTCTCGGCCATCCATGAAATCGCATGTGATGTCTGGGTCCGGATCAGCCTTGAATGTTGGTAGGTTGACGGGGTCAGCGTGGAGCTGCACCACGAAAAAAACAGACTTGTTCTTCTCAATCTCGGGCCATGCGCGGTTTGCCAGAGTCTCATCAATGTCGGCGGCCTGCTTTTTGCTGCCCTTGCCGCCCTTCTTTTTGCCGCCCTTGGTGTTTTTCTTCGATTTCTTCTTGCCCACCTTGTCCAGGGAAAGCATGCCCCCATCGTCATTGCCATCTGCCTGGTCGATCTCCTGTACAAGGCTCTCAAGGCGATTGACCCAGTAATCGCCCTCAAAATAAGGTAAATCGCGGCCACGGACAATGTCACGACTGCACACGTATTGGTACATGTCGTAAAAGTCGTGAATGGCATTTTGCTCCTTGGCTGCCTTGAGCATCTTCGCGTACCACTGCGAAAGACGCTTCGGCGTGGGCGTCTTTTGTTCTGTCGGATGGCAGTGAAAGATGTAGTCGTCGCCCGCAGCAGGGGGGCAGGCCCAAATATGCGCATACATGTAGCCAAGCGCAGCCATATACTGTAAATAACCAATCAAGAGTTGGTGGTAGACCTTGGTGCGCAAGCTGGACGGCTCAAAGAAGAACACAGAGTCGAGATAGCTAATGTAAACGCGCCGGCGGTTTGGGCCGGGACAATCGTCACCGTATTCCTGAACATGTAGCCCAAAAAAGCACACCTCATGACCCTCTGATTCTTGATAAACAAAGATGGCTTTGGTGCGATATGGGTACTCGGCGGGCAGAGGGTCCTCAGTGTCGGCATAATAGCGGCGAATGTTGTCCTTGACAACCACGCCACGCTCTCGAGAAGAGTGCACGCGCACTGTCACACGTCTGGCTTCTGGTGGCGAGGACACGGTCTCATCGTGCAGGCAATCGTTCACACGCTTCTCGAGATAATCGCTCAGCTTGGTTCGCGGAAGTTCTGGGAAAGAGCGAATATGTGAATGTGAGCCCGGGAGAAGGAAAAAAAGCAAAAAAGCAAAAAAGCAAAAAAGCAAAAAAGCAAAAAAGCAAAAAAAAGAAGAAGAAAAAAACCCCAGCGAGCGCGTCCGAGGGTGGGGGGAAAGATCCACGCGCAAGCTTGCTTACTGTGTGCAGGGTAGGGGTTGCTCAAGGTCGCCGAGTTGCTCTTGCTGCAGGCTTGGCAAATGAACTCCTTGTGAATGCTGGCATGATACATGACGCAAATTTGATGGTGCCGGCGACCACAGCCGGCGCAGGTGACAAACTCTTCGTAATCAATGTGGTTGTTGATGGCTTTGGTAAAGTGCGTACGGCTGACTTCAATTCTAAAGGTAGCGACAAAAGGCACGGCATAGGGTGAGGCGCCCCGCGAAGAACGAGGATCATGTTGGAAACGTTCTCTTCTTGAACCGTTGCAGGCGATCAGGCCCACGTACTCTTTCTGATCGGGTGTCAGCTCAGCTGAGATGGTAAAAGTGGACTTTTCACCCTCTGTCTCCTTCCAACAGGCCATACAGCAGTTGAATGCCGAGTTGAGATTTGCGTCGTACTTCATGTACTCCTCGTCGCGACGAATCGGACAGATTTGTTTCACCGAGCAGTAAAGTACTTGAGGATTGAATGTGAGCTGTGAAAACCAAAGGCATCAAATACAAAATGAAAGTGACAAGGCGAATCAGCGGCCCTTTTGAAGACGAGCTCATAGCAAGATCGTTTGAGCAACACCGACCTCTTTGCCACAGCAGAAGCGCAGACGCTTCATGACCAAATCGATGGTATCCTCAAAAACGCTGGAAACCTATTTAAAAAAAAAAAAATAAAATAAAATAAAAATCAAAATCCGAAAAACAGCGCAGGTACACATCACCTCGAAGGACAAACACCAGCAATGACGAACCTCATTGGTGAACTTGTAAACAACGTGGTTCTTGGGATTGTAAGTCCAAGCGTTTTTGAACATGAGACGCATATCATCGCAAAACTCCCACGGGTCCTTGTAGGTGCCTTTCTCCAGTTTATCTTCAATCGTCGACAAGTCCATGGGCTTCTTGATAATTTCAAAATAGTCTGGAATGTTAAGCTCAATAGGGTCGACAGGGCGCAAAAAGCACTCAGCCGCAGACATGCCCTTGAGCCTCTCCAAAACAGGCGAAAAGTGGTGCTTGAGTTCATCGCGTGGCCACTCCTTGATTTGGCGACTGGTCGCCTGTCGCTTCTGGCGATCCTGCTTTGCTTTCTTGATCTTGTAGATTTTCTCCGCCAATTTTTGATAATAGCTTTCGTTGTCAGTGGCCTATGAAATTCGGATGTCACGGCCAAACGTAAATGTGTATGAACCAAAACACGCCTGCCAAAGCCTGAAACCAATGGACAAACGACGCAGCATGGGGACGGCCAGCCAAGCAAACCTCTTTAAAAACGGTCGCTTCGATTTTTTTGGCCATCTCCTGAAGCTGGTCTTGCTTCGCGACAGACTCGGCTGAAGAGACGCATTCCCTAACAAGTTGTCCGCCACATCGCGGTTGGTGAGATCCCAACAACGTTGCCTTGAATAAAGATTGCGACATGTACAGGACCGACTCAACATACTTGAGAGCTCCAATAAGCTTCTCGATGAGCTTCGGCCGTTTGGGATGAACGCTTTGCCGCCAGTCAACAGGAGCCGAGCCGGCCCCAGCCCCGCTTTTGGCACCCAAAGTGGTAGGCGCGCCGCTGGCTATGACCATTGGCTGTAAGTTGGGGTTAGAAGGCGCTCCGGTCGTCGTTAATGATGGTCGACTCTGTGCTAGTGTCTGTGCCTGACTTGTACGAGCAGCAGCAGCAACAGCAGCAGCCGCAGCCGCAGCGGCGGCAGCACTTGGGCTAATTTTATTGTCGGCCTTGACCGCTGCTTTTTGAACAGGCACAGCACGATTGGCTCGCTTGGCAGGAGGTGCCCCCTCTGTTGTGAGGAGATTTCTGAGCTCTGTTTGATCTCGCGCCTCGCTCGTTGGTGGTCGCTTTCCGTGAGGCGGCTTTCGCAAGGGATCACAAATCGGACAGTCGGCCTCTTTACAGGTACTGTAATGAGAAATGATCTGACGAGAGGAGCCACAATGTGGAACTGACATTGTTCGTGCAGAACAGAGAATGAGAGTGGGAGAGAGGACCTCTTTTTTTTTTTTTTTCCCTCAACACACGCACACAGACAAAGCTGCCCGAGAGAACATGCGAGCCAACTTACCCGAGCATTGTTTGCCATCACGGCAGGTGGCCATGTGGCGAAGCACATTCTTCATGACTTTGCAGTAGCGAACCGAACAAACCTGTCCATTGGGCGGTACCTTTGAAAATACACAAAAGGGACGGAATCAGGGCGACATGCTAGCCATGGATGCAAAGCGAAGCCGAGATGGCATCCAAGCAGACACAACTCACATTGCGATCATCCTTGTCAGGTAGCTTGCATTTGTAGGCATGGATTAAAAGCATGAGCTGCTGCTGGATGGCCCGGCGGCGAGACAAGGCCGCCTTGCTTTCAGTCTCAGAATGCGCAGGCGCCATGCCAGTGGCACCACCACTCATAGACGTTGCGTTGAGGGCCCCCAGCTGGTCATGGCCCAAGTTACCGCCAGCTAAACTCGACATGCCACCGCTGGCATCACTGGCAATGGAGCCATTGGGCAGCTGCAGGCCATTTGGAGCGGCTTGACCAGGTCGAGATCCAAGATTTGTCATTGGCGCACCACGGCCGACCACACCTCCCGGCAGAACCATTGGTTGACTGCCTTGAGGAAGGTAGCGCTGAGGTTGGCCCTGCATGCCCATGCCCGGCGGCTGGCCCGGGAGTTGCTGTTGTTGCTGTTGCTGCGGCGGTAAGGCGCCTGGGTTGAGGTTGGGCGAGCTGTGGTTGGAGATGGCTCGTAGGTCCAGATTTGAAGGTGCACCAGGTCGGCGCAGGGACGCATTACGTTGGTTGGCACTCATGGTTGGGTTTATGCCACCTGCCACGTGACAAGATTATGACAAGCATCGGGGTGAGTAATCATGTGGCGGGCTTATGATTGAGAAAAACGGTTACGGGCAGGTCATGGAGCACAAGCAAGGTGACATTCGAACGCAAAACTTCGTACCGTTGGCGGGCATCATGCTGGTGGCGGGCATCATGCTGGTGGCGGGCATCATGCTGGTGGACGGCATCATGCTAGTGGACGGCATCATGCTGGTGGACGGCATCATGCTGGTGGACGGCATTTGCATTTGCTGCAACTGTTGCTGTTGTTGCAGTTGCTGTTGCTGATGTAGTTGCTGTTGCTGCTGCTGTTGCCGGTATTGTTGCTGCAGAGCCATTTGTTGTTGGTGCTGTTGCTGTTGTCGGTAGGCCATGGCAGCCTGAGGGTTTTGTGAAGCAGCAGACATGGGCATGGGGCCTGTGGTACGAGGCATGCCCTGGGATACCACGGGACCGCCAGCGGAGACCATGCTGACAGGCATTTGAGAGTAAGCCTGTGGAGCTCCTTGGGAATACATTTGCATGGCAGCAGGGTTGACACGGGCGCTTGGAACAGCACCCTGGCTTAGAGAGCCATTTGCTGACATGCCTGGGAGGGCCGTGGATGTGGCAGGCAATGGTGCGCCGCGTACAGGCATGGCACCTTGGCTAAGAACAGCACCTTGGCTGTGCATTGGCTGGCGAGCCAAGCTAGGGTGGCCCAAGGTAGAGACGGGTGGACCCTGTAGGCTGTGAGGTGGTAGGCCTCGACCAGCGACTGATTGTACTGGCAGGGCAGAATGCTGTATACCTTGCATCGCGGGCTGTCCGAGGGGCGGCTGGCTGGTCGCAGGCTGTCCTTGAAGGGATTGTCCTTGGAGGGATTGGCCTTGCAAAGAATGATTTTGCATCGGGCCACTAGGCTGCTGCATCGGTGCGCGCTGTGGAGCCAAGCTTGAGCCTTGAAGACTCGATCCTTGAAGACTCGATCCTTGAAGACTCGATCCTTGAAGACTCGATCCTTGAAGGCCCGAGCCCTGGAGACTTGAGCCCTGGAGACTTGAGCCCTGGAGACTTGAGCCCTGGAGACTTGAGCCTTGCAATGACTGTCCCTGGAGGCTCTGGCCTGCCATGGGTCGATGTTGCATGGACTGCTGGGAGGGATAGGTCATTGTCATGGACGCTGGAGCGGAGCTGTTGGCCATGCTTGACACAGGTACCCCGTTGGAAAGAGAGGACTGTAGGCTCACAGGAGCTTGCCCTGCGCTGCTAGCGGGCATGCTGGTAACGGGGGCATGCGATGATGATACGGGTAGCGAGACTGCGGGATTATAAGGGGACGACACAATTGGTGCTGCCAACGAAGCGCTGGAGAGTGCTGGACCACTATGAGCGACCTGTCCAGGCCTCGATGTGGCACCTTGGGTGAGGCTGGCACCACCCGCGAGCGAGGTGCCCATCAAGGAATGGCCCGCGAGCGAGGTACCCGCAAGCGAGGTGCCAGTCAGGGAGGTGCCAGCCATGGAGGTACCCGTCAGGGAGGTGCCAGCCATGGAGGTACCCGTCAGGGAGGTGCCAGCCATGGAGGTACCGGTTAGGGAGGTGCCAGCCATAGAGGTACCCGTTAGGGAGGTGCCCGTCAGAGAGGTGCCGCCAAGCGTTGAGCTACCGCTGGCTGAGGCTCCGACATGCGAAAGCGGTGGTGCAGCCGGGGCTGTCATGGCGAGGACTTGACGGCGCTGTTCAAGACTGGACTGGGATGGGAGATGGCTCAGCAAAAGGTGCCGCCGGCTGCCGGGATCTTTCTTTTACCCCATACTCCAGCTGATGGGGATTCCCTGTCATTTCGCAAAAGAGAAGTCGAGCCGAGCAAGCATGACGGAAAGCAAGGCAAGACAAGTCACATCAGCTCATCATCGTCGATAAATGCAAGGCAGAAGGGGCAGCGTGACAGACGTGATCGATTTTACAAATCAGGCAGGGTTCGTCGAGTATCGCAGGCTGTAAGCCTTTTTGATGTTGAGTCGACTACAAGTTGAAAGTTCATGCCAAGGGCACCATTAGCTCATTGACAAACAGTCAAAACGGGCAGATCGTTGTCCCGAGAAGGACGCGAGCGAGAGAGAGAGAGAGAGAGAGAGAGAGAGAGAGAGAGAGAGAGAGAGAGAGAGAGAGAGAGAGAGAGAGAGAGAGAGAGAGAGAGAAGAGAGAGAGAGAGAGAGAGAGAGAGCAAAAAGAAAGCCAAAAGAGAGAAAAACCGTTAAGAAGGATGAAAAAAAAAAAAAAGAAAAAAAAAAAGGGCAGCCCTCTCATTGAGGTTTGAGCTCTCGTGAGAAAAAGAACAAAGAAAAAAAAAACGGCAGCGAGAACGCGCGGTGCAGAAAAGAAGGTGCAGTGGCAGCGGGTGCTTATCAAGGCAGGGCAACCAGATCAAGGCGCCTGCTCGTGTCGTGTTGAGCCCAGAGAGAGTCACGAACTTGCTCGCACGTCCACATACGCACACACGCACACACATCATACACACACATACACGAAGAAGAATTTTTGATGCAAAGGCGAATTTTGTGTTGGCTGACAGAGGTGTTTTGTTGGTGTGGGTCGTTTTGGCAGCGCCTCTGTTTGTGTGACGTGGCCATGCAGAGCAGGAGGGGAGGGATGGCGGGTCGGCTTTGTGGGCTGCCCCTCGCCCGGGGCCAGGTTCAAGGACCTCACCTGTGTCGCGTTCGGACCCAACGAAGAGATGAAAGAAGCGTCGGTGACCTTGGTTGTGTGCCTTTTGTGTGTGTGTGTTTGCGTGTGTGTGTGTGTATGTGTTGTGTGTGTATGTTTGAACGGCGGCGCACGCCAAATATTGTGCCGTCATGAGCTCACCCACAGGAGAAGAGATGGTGAGAGCTGGACGACGTGGGGTGAGAGATAGAAGAGATAGTCAACGTTTAATGACGCTTTTCCCCAGTGATTTAAGCTGGAATGGAGAGAATCTGCCTGCTGGTGAAGATCAGCCAGAGAGAGACAAGGGGTTGCTTTTGTTCCTTGATTCAGAAGCAACAATGACACCTGGTAACGAGCAGCCACAGACGTTGATTTGCTTGTAACTGAATGTAATTCATGATATCATTTAGTACCAAACCATTTCACGCGGGCAAAGTATAGGATGCTAACCAGCATGACCCCCGAGACCCATCAAGGCACCCCGTCCACTTGACCTTTCCCCCTACCGGCCGAAGCAGAATTCTCGCATCCTGCGAAAGAAACGGACAAGCGCGCTCAAACCCCGTGGCCTAGGATGTCCTACTGTGTCCTACTTGGGGCATCACTCGTGCCGCCCGTCCCTCCCTGACGCACGTCCAACCTCCATGGACCTACCGGAACACACATGTACATCCTCTTTTTGACTTCACGGCTCGCCACGACTGCCATCACGCTTGCCTGGCCCAGACGAGCATGGGACATGTCAGCATGACCCGGCTGCCCATTCTGGCGACCATTTCCCCCTTGGCAACCCTGCCGACGCCGTTTGAATTCCACACAAATTGGCAACCTGTCAAATGTTGATGAGGGAAAGCAGGCAGCAGCAGCAGCAGCAGCAGCAGCAGCAGGCCACGGCAGGCAGGACTTGAATGGGTGAAGCATGAGACTGATGACCAGTGAGACATGGTGTTACATGTTCAAGCCCACACGCCAAATGAGGGGCGACAGCCGTGGACCTTTTATGTGTGCGTGCGTGTGCGTGCGTGTGCGTGCGTGTGTGTGTGTGTGTGTGTGTGTGAGTGAATGAGTGTTTTCTGATGAGTTCTTCTCCCTGCCTTCTAATTTGGGACACATGCCGAAAAGAGCCAGCCAGCCAGTCATCGGCCTTGTGCGCAAATCATTTCGTTTGTTTTGAAAACGGAAACAGCATTTTATGATACACACTTTCGTGGTGATTTTGAGCGGATCGACTTTGAACACTATGGCTGCTCAAGACGCCAGTCGGGATCTCGTCGCGTGTACTGCTTGCGCCCATCCATGAACCGTTGGCGATCCACTTCTTCGTGGGTGATCAGGTCGATAATGGCTGCCAAGATGCGTGCCTCGCGCTCGTCGAACCGCGACGATGGGTTGCGAATCCGCTTCTGCAAAATATGGTCAACCTGGTCTCGTAGGTCGCGCACCAGGTCTGCTGTCCGCGCCTATACATTTCAAGTTACCCGAGCTGAGTCGCAGCCCGACAGCGACACAGGCGCACCGCCAAACAGACACCCACAACGCGCACAGACAGCGTGCGCGCCGTGCACACGACACCTGTCAAAGCATCGTGTTGCATCAAAAGGAACTTACGGGTGATCGAAAAGTAATAAAGTCATCGACTTGGATAATCTCCTCGCCGTCCTCCATGCCCGTCGAAATCTAGAGCACCAACAGTTTTGATGTGATATGGCTGAAACAAAAAGAGAAACCCCCCGTGCCCATGAGCAACAAGGCGGCATGTCCGCACCTCGCCTCCAAAAAACAGCAGGGCCAACGGCTGAACCATGGTCGCGTCGTACACAAACAACGAGGTCGTGCGCATTTTAAGGTGATACACCAACCACTTGGTCTCAAACACCGTCTAGCGACGAGCAAGCCCGGGAGTGATCCCAGCGCAACACGTGTCAGAGTCAATCGTTGCCCGCAGGAGCTGACTGCAGTCGAGATGCGCAACGAGCAAGTGGGGGGTCCAAAGCGCACCTCCTCGGCCAAAACAGATTTGGGATGCAGCGTGACGCGTCCATCCTCCTGTGTAAACAGCTTGGGGGGACGTTCACCAAACTTCCGCCCTACAGTGCAAAGTCAGGCAAGTCAAAAGAACACCGAACAATAAGAATAATAATAAAAAAGAATTACAAGCACATAAAGAGAACACCAGGGCGCACAAGAATCTCTCGAAACAGACCCTCGCGCACGAGAAGATGAAGCGTCGAGCCATGAGACAGTTAATTCACACGCAAAAACAATACAGACCGTGCGGGTGCTGAACGGAGATGACGTTGGGATACAGGCCGGCTGCCAACACAGCCTTGATGAGCTGTGTGTTGTCAGCATGTCGGTTAAAGTCCACTTCAGCCGAGATGAAACCAATGTCACGCAGCAAATCCATGAGCTGCCCGGCCATATCCCGGATCATGTTCAACGTTGAACTCGATAAAAAGTTGTCCCAGCAGTACTCGCGAGCCCCGCCATGTCGCAGCTCTTCCTCCCAGCCTTGGTATGCACGCAAAAGCGTAATATGGTCGCTCATCGCCTCCGGTGCCATGGCGCGGCGGCGTTGATCCATGACCTAGTCCACCATTGGCATGAATGAATCTCACTGTCTCCCCCACACGCACATTCGACCACTGGGGATTCAACTCGTCCCTGCAATCTTTGGGCTTTACCTTTTGCTTGTCGATGGGAGCTGAGAATGGGTCCTTGAAGCTCAAGCTCGCCGCAATGACAGAGATGGGTTTCAGACACTGCAGCATGGCTGCAAACACCAGCATTCGACCGATCTTGGGTGCCACGGGAAGCTGCGCCAAATGATGTCTGTTTCAGCCACACACGGTCAATCATGTCGCGCCATGAGAAACCCAACATGTATCAACACAGCTTGGTATTCCACCAGCAACAAGAGATTGATTGGGTGGGAGACCAAGAGTTCGCCTTGTTCTTTCTTGCATCTCGGACCAAACTGACCCCAACGGAAGCAGGTTTTCCTCCTTGTCAAGGGCATGAAGCTGGCGCAGTGCTTTCAAAGCGTTTTCCACGGCTTGTGGCGAGGGCCTGGGCACGTCACAGGATGGCGATCATCAGTGCAAAAACAAAAACAAAAACAAAAAACAAACAAGAATTGCATGACATGATGAGTGCCCCTTGGGGCGACGGCGGAGGCGGTGCCACGACGGATGCGTACTGATCGATGGCACGCTGCAAGAAATCGCTGGCTTGACCAAGTTTGAGAATCTATGGTAGACAACACAGTGGGCTTGACATTTCAGCCAAGTCCAATATTGGCTGCCACAAAGCAGTTGCGAACTCTCACCTTAATCTGTAAAATAAGTTCCTCGAGAGGTGTGCGCAACAGCTCGGGCAGCTGATTGTCCTCCATTTGTGCCAAGCGGAACCGGGTAAACAGGTGATAGCACACACCTTTGGCCCCCCACCAATTTCAAAGCAACACAGCAAGCGGATTCGCGCGCGCACACACACACACACCATGTCCAGTCAGGATCGAATGAGGTAAATACAAGAGGGAAAGCACACGCTTGCCAATCACATGCGCACGCTTTTTCCGCACCATCCTGAACACGACCGGCGCGTCCCTTTCGCTGGCGAGATGATGCCTTGCTGACCCAAGTTGCCTTGAGTTCGGAGAGGTGACTGACTTCATCATAAGTCTGTATGATGTGAGGCAGGCAGCCATCAGGCAGGAGCCAAGAATGGTACGCCGCAACCCTGAGAAGGAGCAATCGGCCAAGACCAACCTTTTCCTTGCCGAGACCCGTGTCAATGACGTAAACAACGTCATCGATCGTGATGCTAGTCTCAGCAATATTGGTGGCGATCACAATCTTGCGCACGCCTGCCGGCGGCCGGTCGAAAATCTAGTGTACTCCGGGCACACATGTGAGGCCAGGACTTGGTCAGCAATAACGCGCGTGGCTGTCGGGCTAGGCGAGCAGTGGTGAATGACGCACCTGCTGCTGCTGGGCTGTAGGCAACATGGAGTGAAGCGGCAAAACACGGTACTTCTGACGATTGGCGGTGGGCCCACTGCTCTTCAGACTATCGTGATGGCAGACGAGGACAGACAACATCATGTAAACAACGAAATGGCGCATCCTCTGAGTGGGCAGGGATGTTGGCGATGATTCCTGCCCATGAAGGCATTGAAAGGGTTCTAACAAGCGCCACGCTGAAAAAAACAAAAAAACAAAAAACAAAAAAAACAAAAAACAAAAACAAAAAACCAATCTCAAAGTGTCAAAGAATAAAACTCACGTCTCATAGACCTTCTGAATATCAGTCCAGCCAGGCATGAAGCAGAGAATGGCACCATCGGGCTTGTTGCGACAAATGTGCCAAATCACTGCTGTAACAAGATCGTAATCGATCATGGCTTCAGTCTCATCAATAGGCCGCCGGCGCAAACCTTCTATCGTCTGGTGGGAATATCCGCTGGCCTAAAAGGTCACCACCAAGCACCTCGGATGGGGTGAGGCACCAAAGAACGTGTATTTCTCCTCCGTCAAAAGCGTGTAAGTCAAAGCAGGGCAAGAAGGGAACAAAGCGTGCTTTCACGTACAGCCAGCGAGCTGACATAGGCTTGGTATGCTGCCTGTTGCTGCAGCTCCTCGGCTGTGGCCTGCGCCTCATCCCCGATACCACCTTCCTCCTCATGGCGAAAGCCACCGCGGCCTCGGCCTCGGCCTCCTCGACCCCGACCTCGGCCCCGGCCGCCAAAACCACGACCTCGGCCGCCTCGACCCCCACCAAACGAATCGCGCGGTGGTGGGAGGCGATAACGAATCTCATCCAACACGTCGGCCAGGTAGAGTTCTTCAACAGGGTAGGTAAAGCCTACACGATATTCATTGCAAAAGTGATCATGGGCAGTGTCGGGAGCTCAGAATGAAAAGGTGCATGCAACAGCCGGTCGTCTTGTTACCAGGGATGTGTAGGGTCGTAGAACCGGGAAAGTATGAGGAGAAGGTCTCAGCATTCAGAGTGGCCGACATCAGAATGACCTGCAAATGTCAGAGCGAGTTGGCCCCACCAATGTAGAATGCAAAGGTGGTGGCGTGAGCTTCGCACAGTCCGGTCAAGAAGGAAAGTTCGTCAAGGCAGGCCATTTGCCGTCGCCCACCTTGAGCGATGGGCGCTTGGGCAAGATGTCCTTGATGATGACCAAGAGAAAGTCGGTCAAGATGTCTCGCTCATGCACCTCATCCAAGATAATATGGCTGAGCAGGCGGAGCGTCATGCAAACGTAGTCAGAGATTGTTGTGAGGACAAAAGGAAGGAAAACAAAAAGGGGGGGGGTATCGATGCAACCTGATGTCTTGCAGGCTACTGTCATTGATGAGGCGGCGAAGCAAAATGCCAACGGTGCAAAAGGTAATGGAACCATGAGAGCGCGGCAGGCGTGCATCCAGGCGGATCTAGCAAGAGCACAGACAGGGTGGATGAGGAGGCAGAGCACAGGCTGCGAGATGCGGGGAAGCATGACCAAAGAAGCCGAGAACACAGTTTGGACAGCAAAAAAGGGGGAAGGATATCAAGAAGAATGGAAGGTTAAACCAACCAACCCCC